AGAAATCGTAAGAATTGTGCTGTAAACGTTAGAGACGTCAAAGAGGGACAGCCCTTGGAATAACAAAGGATTCCAAAAAATCACAATGGTCAGTTCCTATAGCTATAACTTATAGTTAGTAAGTTAGTATACCTCTGTCGCAATTATGTGTCAGAAAGTAACACATTGGGGTTGCATTACAAAAGCAAGTATCAGACGACTAGGAATGGGGGCGCCTTCCTCGACCTAACTTATTATTTATCAAATATACAAATTACTCTAGATATTGCCAGTGGTGGAGTGAACCGGAAAACGGAACTGCTACTTGTGTGCTACTTTAGTTATTAGGCCTACTGCTGTAAACACCACATACCTGTTAAACCGAAACAAGATTAGGGCTAAGCCGCGTACAGACCGAAAATCCATTATTGGAATGCGCTCGTCTGCACGTCGTTTCCTGTCTATTGTATACAACGTTGGAAGCATCGTGTGGGACCCGTATTAGAAGCATGGTTCGTTACGCTCCCAGGTGTTTGATAGTTTTAGGGTAGAACCTAGCTCTGCAAACAAAAAAAACGATCATACTTCGTTTTTCGACATTTCTGAAGCTTATCACAGACTTGAGTTTCGGTCGCTAAAGGCAGGTTCACTGATACCGATAATAGACGTTCTTCCCGTCGTGTAGTAGACTCACTTGCCAATAAATTGTGGGGTGTCGAACTGAGAGTAAACACAACGCTCACAAAATTAACTACGCCTATGGCAATGTATAAAAGAACAAGGTGAAAGACGATGGCGCCAACTACCTCTATTTCGGTTTTGTTGGGTTTTAATGGTTTTAATCCAAAAGGGAAAGATGAAGGATGCGCGGCCAGATGCGCAGACGTATCCTGCCAACACAAGATGTTCTGCTGAGTGTTTTTCTATAATCAAATCCAAGCGAATAACCAAAATTTCTGTGTTATGTACCGCGGTTATAATATGGTTCAAGTTGACACACGGGTCGATTGAACGCGTTGGTTTTAACCGCGATTTTGTTGCAAGTTGTTTATTTTAGAAAAGCGCGTATATGATCTCTGATTATTTTTATTATCACTTAATAATCGATGCTTTTTCGTCTACAACTGTGTATGGAAAGTTTAAATAAGAAACCTTTCATATATTCATGGGAGAAATGTTTTTTTTTCAGAAATTTTTTTTTAATGATGGAACCATGGCTTTGTAGCTATGATAACTTTCAATTCTCTAAAGTTTTCAGCATGTCAAAGAAAACATTTATTGATTCAGCAGAAATGATTAAAAAAGACATTAGCAAAACAGTATTCAGGTGGACATCATCTAGTCTAGTGAGTTCATATGGCCATATTTTAATGTGGTATATAGCTACACAGGATACTTTTTTAGGCTTAGGAACTACATTTAAAGTGTCCCCAACAACAGTAATGAGTATAACTAGTAAGGTGCTCCACTTTATGGTAAAACTGAAGTCAGCCTGTATCAAGTTTCCCAAAAATGAAGCTGAAGTGGAATAACAATATCCAATACCCGGCAAAATTCTAACTTGTCACATTTCAAATAATAACCAGAAATATAAAACTACTCCCGAGTTGGGTAAATACCACAATTTTGCGGTGATAACTAAGTATGACATATAACAGCTGATTCATGACGTCACGGATCTTATAACCAAGCTGATAACCACACTCGCTTGAACGGATCGGTAAATACCAACCCAAAATGGTAAATACCATTTTCATTTGGTTATCCGCTTGAAATTGATTTATGCTGGGATTTAAAGGTTAAGAAGTATTAAACGACATCACGAAGACTACAGACAAGAGGTTAAGTTCATAGTGTTGTGTGAAGCCAAAAGTGTCGACAGTGAAGGCGGGGCTATCACGTAAGTACACTGCGCAGGAAATGAATTTTAGGTTTTACGCATACGGCATCTCTATGGTATGTAGCTCAGAGCTAACCAAATACCACTGACGTCGTAATGCGCGAGAAGCGTGCATTGCGTGACTCTGTCGTACACATTACGACGAAAGCTCAATTTGAACCTCACCACAGGAGAACCGTCGAAATTAATAAAAAATTACCCCAAAACCTGACTAAGGCAGGCGCGGATCCGGGGGGGGGGTCATGGCGAATTTAGTTCGACCACCAATTTTTAAAGTTTCAAATCTCTTAGATAAATCTGTAATGCACACATATTAAATGGATGCCGTACTGGTATTTTCTACTAAACACGGGCGGGTCATCGACATATTCATCACTGCTGTCTTCTGGATGATCAAGAGATATTAACTGTTGATAGAATGCCCAGGAATCTGCTCTCTCTAGAAATTTGGTCACATCCTGCAGATCCTTCCATTTCTTACTTTTAATTGGGATTGGGCACTGGTAAAGTTTTCTCAATGTTTCCTCTTCTCATTTTTGTCGATCTTTTTGCGTCTTTTTTAGATTCTTCCGAATTACCTTGTCAAATTTAGAACTAGCATATACATATGTCGATTTGTGAAAAACTACGCGAGGATTCTGTTTACAAAACTTGAGCATCCTGACTGGTCGGGTTGGAAAAGGGCACTTCGTTGGATAAAACGGCGATAAAAACGTACTCCAATCTTGAAAATCAAAATTTTTGCCACAATCAATGACTTCGAATGGTTTAGATTTCACACGGCAGTTTTTCAATTCATCTCTCCAGTCATACGGTACATCAGTGTATGCTCTTTGGTTCACGAGACTCATATCTCTATTACACTCGAAGTATGAATGCCCCCTGATCGGCAATATTACTTTCACAGCAGCAAAACGATTTTTCTTGGTAACAAAGTAATGCAAAAACCGAGCAACTGTAAAGTTTTTATTTTTCCCTGCACAGGAGTCACAGAAAATGGCAAGTTCTTTTACTTCCATAGGCAGGATGTTATGTAAAAACTGACACAGCATAGAACAGACATCGTCATCTCCTTTCTTAGCAATAGATTTATCGTAGGTATAAAAGACAGAATTTGAGTTTGACAGAATGTGGATGTTAAAACAGATGAAATTTAGTTGCACGGGGCAAGTTTTTTTGGTAATCCATCGTGATACTTTCGATAGCGGGGAACTTCGAGGCACGTTTGCGGTAAGTTCTCTTTAGACTGTAAAATCGCTCACTCCTTGTTTGATGTAGTCTTCTCAAGTGTCTTAGTTTGTTCCGTGTGGGAATTTAAGGTAACGATAAGTGAAGACATATCAGCTTTTAAGGAATCACACGTACTACAAGTATCTTTTCGTGGATAACCGAACGATATATTGAAGTTGTTTTCAAAAATTTCTCGGAAGGATTCATAGGTAATCTTGTTTTCAACTTTGCCAATAGAATACATTTTGTGTAATTTTGCAATATTTAGATTTTCAGGTAGGTAAACTTTTTGCGAATCTGCCAAAGAATAATGAGATTTGCGGCATTTGAGGCTCTTAATAAACTCGATGACTTCCTGTTTTGTGTTTTCTGAAAGTTTGTGAAGTCGTGTGTTGTGTTTTCCACGCATGTCGATGGGCGATTTCCCAGTTGCAACTAATGAGTCTCTTATGTACCGAACTCGACGAAGTGTAATTCCGTGTAAAGACAAAAAAGCCTTAAGACAAACTGGAACATCACGTATAATTCCATTTTCAACCAATCGGACACGATAACAAAATGAAGCATTATTAAAAGCCTTGACTCTGCTTCATTTTTTCGAGGGCGTCTACGCATGTCAGGAAGAACAGTGATAAGACCACTAAGATAAGCGTTTTGTGCATTAGTGTTTCCTAGTTCATTAAATTCACGAAGAAGTCTACAGCGTTCGGGTTCAGGTACAGTAGTAAAACAGCGAAAACGTTCACAAAAACAATCAGATCCAAGTTCGTGGGTAGTGGCGCGCAACGTTTTCATTACGTCTCATTGTCTTCCTGTTTCCATATGGACTGATGCCGTTTTTCCATACACGCCCAGGGACTCATGCCATTCTTCCCCGGCACAGGGAATCTTACAGCTGTTGTTTTGTGAAGCCAGGCCATTTTACAATTTAAGAAGTTGATTACAATGTAACATCAGGAAAATGCCACCAAAATAAACTGAACGCTCAATTTAGCCAAATAATGGACTAATGCCGTTGTTCCCCGGTACCCCTCAATTGTGATGTTAGACGGTTTCAAGACATGCTATTTCTTACATAATTTGCAAAGAATGGCAATGTAAACATATAGGATTGGTTCCTTCTAATTTATTTGAATTCATTGAAACCCACCCAGCTGTTTAAACTGTAGCCGGTTCAAACTTTAAATGTTCGAGTAAAATTCGCCATTTTGATTATATACAATTTTAATATAGCCAGCGTCATTCGCACTGCTAATTAATTTATAAGACGAATCCAACAAACCGTTTAAGCTGTATCCCGGTGGAATAAGAATTTCAATGACGAACTTTCAGCGATTTTCTGTTTAGTATAGCCAATGTTTCTCGCACTGCTAAGACGAATCCTACGACACTTCACATGACAAAATCATCGAAGATTTATTGGTAGCCTGACAACCTCAACGATTTTGCTGTATCTCTCTCCTTAAATAAGTCGAAAGCAGCGTAAAATTAGCGTCCAATACTCAAATTTGCAAGGGCAGCCATATGCTAGCTGCTCTGCACCGCGAGTACAAGGAACCTCAAAAAATTAGATCCACGTGCAGGTCGTAGGTCTGATATCTGGGGTTCAAAGCTCAGATGATCAAATTAATTAAATGCCTTTAAATATTTGATCTGTTTTCAGGCTATATCAAACAGAAAATTTTGCTTTCATTGCATTTCTTGCTGGTTATTTGGCTTAATGTTTTTAACCCCAGACCACAAAGGAAAGTTTATGTTTAAACGATTTTTTGATTTTTCCCTTTTTTATATTACAATGTTAAAAATTGAATTCTGATCTTTGTGATACCTCCAACCTGAAAATGGAACTGAAATAAAGGAATGGATCTAGATTTGTCAAATGCAAACACAATTTTGCTGAGCATAACATTTATTATTGTCCACGAAAACGTAACAAAAATATAAACAATAATCTAACAGATCCATAATATAACATTTATTACACGATATTATTATCTTGGTCCGTGTGATTCGATTGGTATTTTAAGAGAAGACCGTCTTAAATGCTGTCCTATAACTGGTCGGGAACGAGAAGCTTCAAAAAACACAGTTATTATCACTTAGGCTTAATTATTTTAGTATACTAACTTTAACTTATCTTAATTCATCGGTTTTCCATTGGATATTAACAGGAGAGGTTATAGGTCTAGTAAAGAACAAACGTGGGTATCCCTAAGAAATGAAAGACGATGTTAACATAATGCAACATAATGCTTGCTATGAAGTGTAAACTGATTGTCATTTATTTAACTTTCTTTTTCTAATGTTCCCGTTGGCGATCAGTCATAGTGTCGCTTCTAGACGATCCAATTTGGCCACCGTTTGCTATTTGTTTGATTTATACTGGAACCGCGTCTGTTTGGAAATTCTTCGTGATCAACTGCAGTAGTGCTCCAGATTCGGGTCTATTCTTGCCTTCTACCCATTTCACAAACAAGCTGAAAAATAGATGCGTACTACGATTGTAAAAACAGTAAAGGTTTTATATATAATAATAGTCTGATAGAATCGTCTATAATGATGTAATTAGATCCAAAATTTAAAATTGTGAAAATACGGAATGCAACTATTACGAATTCTGATGAGATAGTGACTTACTCAGCAACAAATTCTAAGGGAGTCCAGGTAGAGAAATCGGCCTTAGGCATCCACTTTCTATTCATAGGCGTATCCAAAGTTACTGGAAGTATGCCAGCTACCAGAGAGTTGGCTGGAAGCCCACTTTCCTTTGCTGCCAAAGATTTTGTCAACTGATGTACAGCCGATTTTGCCATACCATAACCAATCATTCCTGAAAAATATTATGTGATATCGTTAAGTTGCGAGAATGGTTACATAGAGACATGTAACAATGGAGTTTGACTTCCCTTGCCAATTTTAGATGTCTGATAATACTTGGCTGGCCTCTTTATAATTTGCAAACTGAAGTGCCATCTGTTAAACCTTTGATTAACATAATTAAGTCTATATGAGCATATACAAACATCTAGATGACTAGACCGCCATCTATGAGACACTAACCTAACTAAAGTATATATAGTGAATAGAGAAACAGTTATGACAAATTCTCATACATGACAGGTAATCTATGAGATTTATATCAACATGTGGAAAATACTGAGTCAAGTGATTGACCAACATTTTTGTATACTCGTATTATAGTGCACTACCATAAAGAATTCATCACTATTATAACAAACTAATTACTTATAAGAGAAAGCGGACCAACAATCTATTCATAATTAACAGTAATGACCTGTTAGATAATGTGACCTGCTTTATACAATTATGCATAGGAATCAATATAGATTATGTTCATATTGAAGCATTTTTGCGTATAGAATGCAGTATGACTAATAAATTATTTGTTTCATTTAGCCAGCATTTGGAGACTTTATGTATATTATTTATCATTACACAATAAAATATATGGCATACGCAAAGAAGAGAAATATAAGAAAAAAAACTGGATTTGTCAAGATTTAATGCACCCTTAAGTGACTCGAAAGTACTGTTACATTGAACAAAAATGTGTTTTTGCTTAATTCTGAAGAGGTGCAATATTAATTGATAAAATGTGGTCGGTATCGGCGAATAATTTTGACACAAACTCAAATAATTCTTTTCTGGTCTCTGGATATTGTTGTGCATATTTTACAGCTCCTAGTCTCACCTGGTGTAGGCTGTAAAGCTGCCTTCGCCCCAGTGAGCTGCAAGACTCCCCCATCCTTGAGATGATGTGCCGCAATAGCTGCAGCAATCAAAGAACTGCACACACTTTGCTGCCACATCAACTCTGCTGTCTTCACCAGATCCTTGGTAGCGTTTCCTCCTGCCCATCCTCCAGCGACGCAGAAGATGCCATCTAGTTTGGCACCATTTAAAGCTGAGCTTACAGATGACAAGATGCTGGATTCCTATATATAAATATGCATATGTTAGCACGAATGCTATTTAACTTGAGCATCATTGGTAGAATGAAGGGCAATACTGGCTTATTGCTACCCGCCCAACAGTGTGTGTGAAGTAAACTGCAATACGAGGTGTGGCAGAAAAGTACTGAGACTGATCACATGACAAGTGATCTGGCAACACTGCAACTTCATAGGGTACGTGTCAGTCTCACAGTCCCCTCACGTCGTTCAGTGCAAGTCGTTGTTGCCGGACCTACCAATTTTTCAGTATATTTACCGAAATGAGATTTTATTTACCGGAATAGCTAAAACGTCACTTTACACGATTTTTTAAAATAATTAAGCTATTTACAGGTTTGTCTGCCGAAAAAGAACTAGAAGCAAAAATAAAGCTGAAGGAATGTATTCTATGTCTATTTAGTTATTTGCTCCATGCCAATGATATACAATGAGTACACTTAAACAGTTGGGCACACGAAGGACGTTGATTTAGGTTGCATATAATTATCAGATCTATTACTTCACTTTCCGTGTATTGTTTTTTGTGCATGCAACAGGTACAGAGTGGCAAATCACCGTCAACGTCATTACGACATTACCGGAGAAGCAATAAGGTAACCTAAGCTCGTCTGATTTTAAATAAAAATTAAATTAAAATGTAAGGTGAAGATGGTTCAAAGGTAAAACAGAAAAATACTCACAATCTCATGAACAAGAATGGGAAAAGGAGCTTTCAGAATGGTTGCAAATGAGTTTGAGAGCAACCAGTATGGTCATTGTACAAGTTGTAATTAAAAAGTTAATATTTCTCTAGCAAAAATGTGATTTTTTAATAGATTAATAGATTTTTCCTCCTGCCGATTTTGTCAGTGAATCTTCCGAATTTCATCGACACTATCTGCCGATTTCGTCTTTTCGGCAACACTGGTGCGGATTTCAACTCCGTCTGGTAACCACGCGATTTTTGGGACTGCTATTAGGGAAGTTTTGTGTTAGTTGGAATTTGGCACAACATTGTGCCAAGATGAACCTCACTCCAGGAAGCCTTCAAGCCTTCAAGGTAGGCAGCAGCGGTGGCCGCAGTAGTAGACTCGTCGGTCTCCTGATCAGTCGCCGTGCGCTGTGCGGGTTCGAGTCCCGTCCCAGGAGAAGCTATGGATGTTGTGATTGTCCGTAGCTGGTAGACGGTCTCTGACTGTCGAACGTGGAGGTACCACCCGGCGGATCTCGTAGGTGGAGCCAGAATGTGTACATGTTGCATGCACACGTGTTCCCTCGCCAGAGTCCGAGTGGCGTCCGCTCTTTCCCCTGTATCCCCCTATAGCCCTGCGCTACCCAATGGGTGTTTAGGCCTTAGGCCTTCGTGGTAGTTGGAGTATAAAAAAAAAACTTCAAAACCCGACAAAAACATTGAACGTCTGAATGTGAACACTCTGGGGAAATCAGGCCGTCATTTAACATTAAGATTGTTGAAATTTCCTTTAATTAATGGAAAAAACCTGTAAGCAGACACTATATAATAGTAAATTAAAAATACAAATATACTAAATATAGGTACATACAGAAAGCTTAAGCATTGAAAAATACAAAAACAAATGAAGCAGATCACTTTTCTCTAAATAAAATAGAACAATGACATACATTGAATATGAGAGAGGCTAAAATTTGTGATTGAAAAATTGCTGCACCATATAAGGTTCCAATTCTATGCAAATTTTCCTTATGCTAAGCTATTCTTAAGCATATGTTGAGTGACCAGTTAAATTGCAATGCATTTACATTCATCAAATGTTGACCAAACATATGCATATGTGAAAGATATGCACCGAAAAAATCTCTCAATTGAGCAGGACAATAAAAAAAGCAAGAGTATTGATTTTCTTGACAGAGTTGCCAATGACCAAGATTTATCTAGCTGGGCTACGTTCGTAAAATATTACAGAGGAAGTACACTTTGTACTACTCTATAAAAATTGTAGCGTTCGGAATTGTTAGACGTACCTGTCTCATCGTCCGGAATTAGAACAAAGTAGTCCTTCTGGAATGTCAAAAGCGCACTTTTCTCCCAGAGTTCAAAACCTTGGGAATAAGAAGTGATGTCACCTGTCATTTCATGATTGGTTTTTTACTTTATTTGGTTAATAAAAAGTGCACAACATTGGCAGAATATATATTTTTCACGATAAATGGTCTACCATGTATCCATAGCGTTTCTTATAATAAATAAAATGGTCCCAGATAACGTGGTCAGTCAGCTATCAACAAGTGTCATTATATGACTCTATAATAGTTTTAGCCTTTCAAAAATAAAATTTCACAGTATTCAAGTGTAAAATTTCATTTGTCAATCTACATTACTGTATGTACAGTATTATGTTACCAAGTGATTTACAAACACACCCCTGTGTGATCACATGTAACAAATACTGGATTTTTCAAGAGACAAAAGGAAGTTTGAATGAGAAAATCCAAGATCAAATCAATGCTGCTTTTTTTCCATCAGTAGGGGAGTCCTCCACAAGGAATTTGTGCCCTCAGGACAAGCCATTTTTCATAAAAGCATCCTTGATGAAAGGCTCATAAAAAAAGTAATTTGTGTGATACTAGATAAGGGCATCATTATGCTACAACATAGTGTTTGGTTACTTGTCAAGATTCTCAAATATTACCTGTTGCTGGAAAGACTCTTCTTTTTTGACCAGAATATTGAAGTCAGCCTCAGAATTCTCTCCTAGATCGATGCATCCTACCCACTAAAAATAACACCACACAAATAAAAAATTAGATTCAATAAAAATTATACCAATGAAGCTGGAAACATTTGGTTTCTCTAAGAGAATTATACAAATATTTGAATATTAATGATGGATCAATTTACTTATGGAGAATATTTCTCATTAGAATATTATTGGTACTTTCTTCTTCCCATTTATTTTGAACTAATATAGCACTAGTGAGATTTCGATTACCTAAAAATTATATGTGTTGTCAATCTACCAGAATCCTGACTTCAAACTTCGTTTTTGATGTACATGAGATTGTCATTCATAACAGGACACTTTCAAGAGCATATTTACCAATTTTTTTGTCATTATTTACCCCATTTTACTTGTCCCTCTTAGATATATATATAAAATTTCTACAGCATAAAAGAACTGGTTTTAACAAAGGAGGTGGGCTGAGAAGATCCATTTTTCACTCATCAGCGAATAGATATGACATATATTTATGAAGAATAACCTCCATAACAAAGAAGAAAACATATTTCAAATGAAAACTGAAATTAGTGGTATACATAAATTAAATAATTATCAGAGTGTTATATATGTTTATTAAAAAATAATAAAAGATAATCAGTTTTCATACACAATATATTTTTTACCCATCTTCCTTGTCTTCTTATAATCACTATCAGACCATCCTTCAGCAGCTGCATCTTGTAATGCATGGGCATATTCACGGCTTGATCTTTTTACTTCAGTTGAATTGTGGCGGACCTTTCTTCTTTGCAACCTGTCTTATATTATTTAAAAGACTTTCAATATCTTTCTGATACATTAATGTATTGTCACTTACAGGGCATAAAGCTTGCAGCGCCGATTCACTGAATGTCGATTGCGTAATATGAGTTTTACAGCATTGTTTTCCCAATGAAATATAGATTCCAGTTTCTATAAATGCTTGAGTTCGAGCTGCCTTTGGTACAGTTATTAGGCTTCTTTTACTTTTACATATTACACAACATGAATCCAAGTTGTGACAATGAGGTACTGATAGATGTATAATAGGGCCCTTATCCATAGTATCATCAGAGGTACTTGTTGAAGTGATAACTCTTGTTGTCCTTACAGAAGATGAAGTGCGAGTCTCCTGAGATTGAGCCACGCGGAATGCATATGATCTGCATTTAGAACACAACTTAGAACCAATCTGCAGGTCGCAGTTTTTAGATTTTCTAAGTATTTCTATAATGTTTTTGTTTGAGCAGCTACGGAAATCTCTGTTTGTTTTTCGCCAGGTTTTACAACAATCACACTGGCATCCAGGCATTATTGTTTTATCAAGTTTTTCAATAAACTTTGATCGCGACAGCACAGCACAGTTTCTATACCTTCACTAGGTAAATACTTTTCGAGGTCGAAAAATCATGTCTGAACACGCAGCGGTTGCAGCGTGACACACTCTCGGCAGCATATATTACGTATTTTTAGATTGATGCGCTCACTGAACCAAAACAAATAAATACTCATATACAAGCTTATAATAAGTAGATTCACTGAGCATTAAAGTTAATGTGGTTCATGGAACGCTTCGTAGGGAAAGCATGATTCAAAGATCGAAAAACAACAAAAATGCACAAAAAGCGGTAAATTATTAGTATTGGTGAAATTCCATAATCACAAGTTACACTTATAATACATGGAAATCTATCGTCAAGGCATATCTTTTTTTACATTTTTTAGAAAACGGCGGAGTTGCCCCCAGAAAGAATTTCTATGTTTATTCACGATATTGCGTACTTACATAGTTGTTGGCTTTGAAATGAGAAACACATTTGGCTCCCAGGGCCCCTCTACCCCCATATACAAACACACGTCCTGCAGACATTATTCTTTGGGCGTTTCTGAAGGATTTGAAGGGCTATAACAAATTCAGAATGCGGGAAATACCGATTAGAAACAAGATTGTCGCACGCACAGCAAGGTTGTTTGTTACAGATTGGAACTCCTCATAGCAAATCCAAAAATTGATTCTGCTTCACCTCCCTTTCACTCTGAATAGCCTTCAGATTTCAGATAATCAAAAACAGGTCAATCAAGATTCGCAGTCACCGTATCAAATGTTTACTATTTGATTTTCATACACAAATTCTGCCGGTTAGCCTGGCAACCAGTCATACACCATCACTGACGTATGGAGCAGACTACAAAATAATAGATATCTGGAAAAAAGGTGTTCTTTAAGTGAAATGCTAAAATTGTCCAGGAACATCAAGTTGTTACCATTAGCCACGCCCTTTGGTCACTATAGTATAGACTGATAGATCACGCCTACATTCTTGTTCTTCATTAGTATCGTCTTCTTTCCACAACCTTTTATTGTTGACCAAGTGAATAATCTGAATGATTCCACCTTTTTTCTAAGCTTGCTTAAAGGAATCGACTCGTGCATCAACCGAATTGATTAGTTTTCAACAAATAACAAATTCATCTTTATTTAGATTCGGCTACATTTCCATCTTTAGAGATTTTTTCCCGAGATCCCGTAGTGAACCGGGAGTGGGAACAGATGGAATTTCCCCTTCCTCTCGAAGTTTTGACAGTTTCAAGTTACACCGAAAGTGGTTAGATGGCGCCTGTTGCCCAAAATGTTTGCTTTAAGCTCCTTGATAAACTTTAGCTGCCTTGTTTGAATCTGAAATAACAAGACCGATCGTTTTTTGTTCAATGTACATATATGTCAATAAAATCAATCATTTGATATGACAGGTGTGGTTCATATATCTTCAATGACCTTCTCCCTCGTCATTTAAAATCAGGTGAAGGGGTTCCTCCATTTATGATTTAATAATTTAATTCAATTTTCGGCACTGCGAAGACAAATTTTCAATTTAGATGCCTATTTTTTAAATGAAATTGACATAAAATCTGTCACCCACTAGTACCTCACAAACGTTAGGAGGGTACCCGTTCCACGTGATTTTTTAACATTCGGACGACGTCACATCGTCTTCCCCTATTCCCGTTCTTCGCAAAAATTTGAGTATCGATTCCCGGTAGTGCACTGTTCTACACCGTGGACTCGTGAAAAAATCCTTTTTATAAGACCACAAACGTCAATGTCAAATGTCAAAAGCTGATTGTGCTGTGTCGCTGTGTGATGTTTTGTGATTGTGCTTTTTCATCGTTGCTGGGATAATTCCCGATTATTTCTTCAAAGAAAAGGTTTATTTTTGCTCGCAAAGGAGGATAAAACGGCAAGAAAATGACTGTAATTAATAAGGTATGTATACCCTCCATAAACCACTTCTTTTCTTTCGATATTTGTCTAGCAGATAGTAAAACTTTCTTTTGTTATTAAAATGACAAACCGATGGTTAAATTTTTGTTGCAATGGGCCAAGACATATCAGCGCAAAAGAGGCACGCTTTGCTATCAAAGAAAAAGTCTAGAATCCATTCTACAAGCGAGGGATCGAGCACATCCGAGCCAGAGCAAGTACTCGAGGAAAAAGTACTCAAACTTTACAGTTTATGACATCGTTTAAAACCGTATTTTGATCACTCTTTCAGATGGACGTCGATGGTGGGCCTAAAGGCGAAGGATTTAGATCATATTATATCCAAAAAATTGAGGAGCTACAGCTTATTGTTGCTGAGAAAAGCCAAAATTTGAGGAGGCTTCAGGCACAGCGAAATGAACTGAATGCAAAAGGTATAGCCACATGAATCTTGAACTGCAGTGTCTACCTTATAAAAGGGCAGTGCTCAGAGAAATGTATTATTGAAACCTTAATTGTTTTAGACATTGAACTCCTTGCAACTTTAGTCTGCTGCCAAATTTATTCTCAGTCATGTTTATAGTTTTTGAGCAACAAAGGTTATTTATTGTGTTATTTTCAGTTCGAATGTTGAGAGAGGAATTGATGTTACTTCAAGAACAGGGAAGCTATGTAGGAGAGGTAGTAAAACCAATGGATAAGAAAAAAGTCTTGGTGAAGGTTCACCCTGAAGGAAAATTTGTTGTAGATATAGACAAGAACATAGACATCAATGATGTTACTCCAAACTGTAGAGTTGCACTTAGGAATGAAAGCTATACTTTACACAAAATCCTTCCAAATAAGGTATATTCTGACAATATGATAATATTTTTCAATTAATTTTCTGGCAGTCATTCTATTCAAAAGCATTGTTACTTATACATATACCAAAAAAAATCTTGAGAACATGCAAAGAGAGTTATCCTTTTTTTCAACTTTGTTTTAAGAAATATACTGAATTGAGAATGAATTGTTAATACACCTATTCAGGCAATTTTGCACCTATACAGGGTGTTTCAAATATCACCCTCACTATTGGAATGTCAAAAATGGTAAGGATATGAAGTTGCTTAAATGGGGACAAAGTTGCATATCCAGGTAAATAACAAAATGCCACTCAGAGAGCTTCTAATTCAAAGCTCGTCTGGAGAGAGATGAAAGAAACAGAATTTTCCCAAAATTGTTATGATTTTCCCCTGGCTTTATTTGTAGTGACATTTCTAAACAAATTCCACATTAACCCTGCCACTTTTTCTTTTCTACAAAATGGCGTAGTTAGAATTTCAATAATATGACAAACAAATTTTTATTTGTTTGTGCAAAAACCAATATGGCATTTATAAGAAAAAATAAAGGTAATGCTGGAAGACAAGAGATGAAACGTCATATTGAAACTCTAATTATGCCATTTTTTAGAGGAGAAAAAGTGGCAATGTTAATGTGAAATTTATTTCGAAATCCCACTACAATTAAAGTCAGACAAAAATTGGTATTAAAAATAATGTGGAGTATGTATTAAAATTTTTAATATTCATTATAGTATGTACTATTTTGTAGGTTGATCCACTAGTTTCTTTGATGATGGTAGAGAAAGTCCCAGATTCAACTTATGAAATGGTTGGTGGGCTAGATAAACAGATTAAGGAGATCAAAGAAGTTATTGAGTTGCCTGTAAAACATCCTGAATTGTTTGATGCTCTCGGCATTGCTCAGCCTAAAGGGGTGCTTCTTTATGGACCACCAGGTATACCTACATTGAAGAATTAACTTTTACATTATATCATTTTAACTCTATTTTTCATTCCTCCAGGTACTGGGAAGACCCTGTTGGCCAGAGCAGTGGCCCATCACACTGAATGCACCTTTATCAGAGTCTCTGGCTCTGAACTGGTACAAAAGTTCATTGGAGAAGGCTCAAGAATGGTCAGAGAGCTGTTCGTGATGGCCAGAGAACATGCACCATCTATCATCTTCATGGATGAAATTGATTCTATTGGCTCATCTAGAATTGAATCTGGAAGTAAGTTACTGCCATTAACACGTTCCCTGCCAACGTGCTATGAATGATTTGTTCACCATGCGCCAAAAGATCTTTTCATCCCTAATTGATGTATTAGAATAAAATAAATATGTTTTAACACTGTATATTATCTATAGTGATAATGATCCCATTTTTAGAGTTTTCGGTCAAAATGACCGACGCGGCGTGCAAGGTTAATTTGGTATCTCTGCGCCGCGTCGGTCACTACTTCGGTCACCTAACCTTTAATTTTACACGCGGTCGGAAGAATAGGGTTAGCCGGCAGAGAGGCGAGTTTGCGCTTATCTTGTAGCAGTTGATTATTAGCTGTCGGGTGTACTGCACGTCTTATTGGCTTCACAATTTTATTTCCTGTTCACGAGATGTCAAACGGAAAGTATTCGTTTATTCGTAATGAAAATAAACTTACAGAAGCAGAAATGATGATCCTGCGTGATATGTCTGATGAAGACACAGACGACTCGGTCAGAGATAAAGATTTTCAACCTAGCTCAGAAGGTAATATAAAAATTATATAAATAATAATATACTAAAGCATGAATTATAGGTAGATATACAAGAATATAAAAATGATTTATTTCAGGTGAATCGTCATCCAGTCAATCTTCACGAGATGATGCACAGCAGAATCGTAAAAAGGCCTCGGCAATAATGACTTATTCCAACAATCCTAGCACTTCAGAGGATGATTTTGGTGAAGCAAATACGCAGGTAAACGATGAAAATAATGACACCTGGTACTTACCCCGCAGCCAACAGATGCAATTTGGCGAGTTTCGGGAGTATTTGGGGTAAGTCCAACGGTGATTGAAGAATTAGTACAAGGTCATCCGAAAGATTTTTACATGGCAGTGGTTGAAGATTCCATTTTCCATATGATTGCAGACCAAACCAACATTTATGCTACTCAGCAGTTAGAAAATCATTCTAATATTTCTGCCTCGTCACGACTTCACCAATGGGACCCTACAAGTTCTGCGGAAATAAATCGTTTCTTTGGACTAATTGCTTATATGGGATTGGTGAAAATGCCATATATCAAAGATTATTGGAGCAGAGATCCCATTTTCAAAACCGAGTTTGCATCCATTGTGATGCCTCGGAATCGGTTTGAAATACTGCTACGTATGATTCATTTTGCCAACAATGATGAATGCAGAGAAGGGGATCGACTACATAAAATTCAAGGCCTAGTCGATAAGCTTGTGCAGAATTTTGAGGCTCTTTATCATCCTGGAGAATCAGTGTGTGTTGACTAGTCGTTAATTCCTTTTCGGGGCAGGCTGATTATGCGTCAGTACATGAAACAAAAGCGCCATAAATATGGTATCAAATTGTTCAAGCTTTGTACAGGACATGGATATACTTTACGTCTGAAAATATATGCTGGGAAAAATCTTGAAGTACGAAAAACAACACCAACTAGCGTGGTTATGGAACTATGTGAATCTGTTTTGAATGTTGGCTGTACGGTTTACACAGATAACTGGTACACTAGCATCGATCTTGCTAACAAGCTTCTCGATAAAAAAACTCATTCAGTGGGAAAAATGTGCCAAAAGAAGTAACTCAAAAAAGTAAAATGAAAAGGGGTGAAATAATTTCGAAAGAGAATATCAAAGGAATTACCGTTCTCAATTGGAAGGATAAAAGGAACGTTATTATGTTATCAACCAAACACACCAATGAAACGGTTGATGTTCCGAAAAGGAACGGTGAAAGTGTTACTAAACCTAAGGTTGTAGCAGACTACAATAAGGCAAAATCGTCTGTCGATTTATCCGATCAAATGGCTGCGTATTCTTCACCTCTACGAAAAACTGTGAAATGGTACAAAAAACTGGCCATTGAGTTACTGTTATCAACAGCTTTGATAAATGCCTATATTTTATACAGGGAATGTACAGGCAATGTTATCGGTATTGTTGACTTTCAAAAAGAGGTAGTTCGATATTTGGTGTCGTGTACCGACGAGCATCAACAGCAAAACCAAATAATAATGGAACCAGAAAGACCAAAAAGAGTACGCCATAATTTGGTAAAAAAAGACGGGAGAGCCGTTCCGTAAGGAAACATTGCAAGGGATGCTATGAAAAAGCAGTTCAAGATGGAAAAGAGGCCAAAGAAAGAAGAAAAGTCAAGAAAGTAACCACGTTTTGTTCAGGATGTCCAAATGAACCGTTTCTGTGTCTGACGTGCTACAACAGAATACATAGAAATCTTTAAATTCATAAAATGTTCTTTATTCCAATGTTTCTGTTCATGTCATTAACCTTAAATCATATATTATAAAATAAAATTTGACAGTAAACTAACGTGTTTAATAATCTAATAAAAAATGAGATAAACAAATCTCCAAACAGAAAAAACAAAAAGTTTTCATATGCCTTTTGCTCGTCAGGCCGTTTCGGTCACGCATTATGCATATCATGGTACAGCTCCTGACCGACGGCGCTCTAGAAGCGAGTATAGAACCGTTGAAATTTTCGGTCATAATGACCAACACGGCCTGATTGCATACCACTCCTTTCGGTCATTTTGACCGAACTGGCAGGTAACGTGTTAAAAAACCGAATTATCCCAGGTTAACTCGAGTTGGGTAACTATTACTTGTATGCTGTCAGTTGCAGATCAATTCGTTTTTAAAATCTTGTTAAACATATTTCATCCAACATATTAATACATCAATAAATGAATTTAATGTTTCATTTTTTTATATTTCTAATAAAAAGTAAAGAATTTACTTTTTGCTCCTCAGGCCTAAAACGAAAAAAGTAAAAATCTTGCAAACTCCATTTTTTAACGTTTCAGAGGATCCTGTACATTTTTAAAAAATGTCCTAGAAGGACATGTTCAGGTTCATTGCCAAGGATATTCTTGAATTTAAAATTGTCCGCAATTTGCAATTTAGGAATTAAAAATGTTTCCCGTGAAAACTGATTTGATCTTTTAATGATCTTGATAGTCATAGTGAAGGTCATACATCATAACGTTTTTTGTTCTTTTTATTTCCAGTGTCAAATATTTAGCTTTCCATTTAAGAATTGCGTCTTCACCTTCAAATGAGCTTGAAGGTTGTTCTTAAAGTTGCCACCTGAAGCCTAGAAATGGGAGGTTAAACTCATAGAGTGGGGGTGAAGCCAACACTGTCGACATTGAAGTGAGTTGGTACACTGCTCATCAAACGAATTTCAATAAATCACGAAATAATAAACCTCCAAAGCATGGCAAAACTTGAGAAATGCACATGAAGATTGCGGCAGATTATGTTGACATTTTTTATTGTGCTGACACTCTACGCCATGTTCTACGCCTGTTAGATTTCCGAGAGCTACACCAACCTTGGCGACAGCATTGGCATCATACGAATAAGTGTATCCCTTGTGTAGCTTAGCCTCCTATCACTAGTCTTTATGGGTCGCCATTAGATAAATATTTCTAAAGCTTAATACTTTATCAAACAACATTTTTCTTTATGACACTTATTGTCGAGATATTTTCACCCTTCCCTACTCTCTGGATACCTTCAAATACGCATGAAGATCATGGTCAAGGTCATCATAAATGTACTTTAACGTACAATTTCCTGCTCTTTACATTTCTGGATCTAAAATAGAAGTTTTCTTTTAAGTAAACTGTCTTAGCCTTCAAATGACCGTAGTGAAGGTCACGTTCAAGAACACCATTAAATGATTCTTTTATAAATTCTTTTTTATAAAACCATGCCTATAACCGTCCTCGGTTTTCAGTTAGTAAGTATACAAATGTTTGTCCCTTCGCGTTGTGCTGACAGACTGGGCAGACATTCACATTTATATACAGGGAAAACCAAATGTATTTGAAGGTTTGAGTTCAATGTGTGTGAGAGAGAAGTGCGAGAAGTGTGTATCAACGCATGTTAGAAAGAGATAGAAGCCGGTTGAACAGCGAAGATCATCACGACATTGCCTAGCAATGGTAACGCAGAGGGTCGTGCAATCTGCCGCGTTGCCAATATGTTACACCTGGCTGCTACAATGAGTTAGGTTGCTGTCATTTCCAAGAAGCAGGTCTTTTAGAACATTTAATTAATGTAATATTTGGTTTTCATTTTGATTAGAATTATATGTGTCAATTTTGATGCGACTTAGTGTTTTAATTTATTTTAGAATTATCTTTGATTTCCGCCGATGTTGATAAAATGAACACACCCTGAATTACGCAATACAATTTATCACTGCCTGCGTGTGCGCAGGTGAAAGCCATTTCGAAGCAGGACGACACTCCCCTACGAGAGCTAGATGGGTACTGACCAAAATCTCTCAACTATGATCATGGAGATGGAAACCTTGCGTTGGAATTTACAATATGTGGTGTTATCAAACGAACCAATGATGCAAAGCTCCAGAATTTGTGGCAAACCGGACTTTTTATTTTCGGTGTAAAATATAGCGCCGTTATTACCGTTCGGGAATCAAACCTAAACACACTTCTCTCTCGTACACATTGAAGTCGAGCCGTCAGACGAATTTGGTTTTGAGTGTATATAGACTATGATCCGTAAATGATTCTCTGGTTAAACTCACCGTTTGAGAATAAAATTGTCATTGAAAAACGCTCTTAACCAATAAAATTACATTTAACCTACGATTGAATAACCATGCCATAAAATACAAATCATTGATGTTCAGGTTCTGGCGGCGATTCCGAGGTCCAACGCACCATGCTGGAACTTCTGAACCAACTGGATGGTTTCGAGGCGACCAAAAACATCAAAGTGATCATGGCGACGAACAGGATTGACATTTTGGATCCAGCCCTGTTGCGTCCCGGCAGAATTGACAGAAAGATCGAATTCCCGCCACCGAATGAAGAGGCGCGATTGGACATCCTGAAGATCCATTCCAGGAAGATGAATCTTACACGAGGGATCAATTTAAGGAAGATTGCTGAGTTGATGCCTGGTGCTAGCGGAGCTGAAGTCAAGGTATTATATTTTCTCTTCTCACCAAGACTGATCATTAACACACTTAATAAATTACACACCCACTGAGGCGAGGCGCCCGAGAACGACACTTATTTTTGCATGAAAGGCGTTTTTAAAGTGAGAACGGATTTCGCCTCGTGCCCATCACGCACATCCTGTCACGTGACCTTCGTTCAACCTCGGACATTCTTGGCCATTCTTTTACTTCGCCACCATTAATTTTATAGCACTGTCGGTATTGGTTGCGTAGTTACTGCTTTGTTTGTCACCATGTCACTCAGTAAATTTGCCGAATGTGAAGTACGCTCAGTAATTCGGTTTTTGCATGCCTAAAAATTCTTCCTGCCAAGGTCGCATCCAGCTTAAAACAGAACCTTGAAAAAATGTTTTGGTGGAAGTTCCACAAATGATACCCACTTAACTATGCCTGATATTTTTCTGTCTATTTGCATATCATTAATATGTATATCCATTTATATAGTCTTCCACTATAATTTGACAATTCAGATGGATATGCAATACTTCTAGGAATAATTTTTAGAAACATTCAAGCAAATATTGCACGAGATGCCTTTTTAAGTTATAATTTAGTCGTTTGCAATACTTGAAAGCAAAACTTGAGATAACATATGACTAATGTTTAGTATAGTGCCAATTTTAAATACCTATTTTTTGCTTACATATCGCTCAAAATTCAAATGGGGTGCTCATTTTTCTAGCCAAGTCAATAGTCCAGGTAAGTACTCTGTAATCGCGAAAAAACTTCAAATGGACTTTTCAGATACAACATAGTGGGTACATTTTTGTGGCGTTCGTCTGGTAATCCTTGGCCCTCTATTACTGACAAAAACATTTATAGTTTTTATTAATCGGTCTTGTTGGGATAGAGTAACCCTCAAAAAAATATAATTTAATCATTGGTGATTCTACAGTTATAGAAAGTTGGAAAGTATCACTGGAATTTGAAGAAATTTTGGGAGGCATGTCTAATGGTACCAGAATTATGACAAAAAATCTATAACTCCCCCAAACTTGACTTTATCTTTTTTTTTTCGTTTCTGATGATTTTGAACGTTTGTTGATATATTCTAAGATGTAGTCAAGATATCTGAGGGATTCAAAGAATGTGAAATCCGGCAAAACTTTTTTTAAATTCTAATAATCCAGCTACTTTTGTATAACTCCAAGCATATCACGAACAACACGACGTGTGCAATTGGAAAATATGTGGAGTGGAATCTGCCTTATTTGACCAGGCTAGCCAAATGTGAACCCTGTTGTAAAAGAAATTGTACAGAAGGACTTACCCTTTAGAGTGAATGCTAAGGCCCCTCATTTCCAAATAAAAAATTCTGGGTAACTTTTTTATCAAACTTTAAAGTTATAAGACAATTAGCAACTGAGAAAGAGATGAAAAAATGGTACTCTTATAATTTTTGCTGGACAAAATTTAAACACTGCTTATCATGGCAATGAAGAACTTCGGAACCCATATTCACGTGACCTATTTTTCATAATATTACCTGTCCAGAAACTTTCTTATCAGTATTTTGTAACACCCTTTATTTTTTTAACATCCGGAATATTTTTCACTGAATTTTTCAGGGTGTATGCACAGAGGCGGGTATGTACGCTCTGCGAGAAAGGCGCGTGCACGTGACTCAAGAAGATTTTGAGATGGCGGTCGCAAAGGTAATGCAGAAAGACTCCGAAAAGAATATGTCTATCAAGAAGCTCTGGAAGTAAATACAGTTATTTTTATTTGACTAGTATCAATGTTCAGTTTTGTAATAATCGCTTTCTTCGATCTAAGATCTATTAGAAACCAGCGTGTAACTCTATAATTATAGTGAAGGTATGTTTTCAATTTTTTGTTTTATTCCAAGTTGGACCTTCTACCCAAAGAGCTGCGAGAGGTTTGATTTCCTGCCGCAAGTCCTTCATATCTCCTCGCATTTATGTGATCCAGACAGCAAATTTTCACCCTTTGAATTAGGCGATTCTGTAAGTGTAGTCTGATATGTGCGGTTTTCAACAGGAGATTCTACAGGGTGTTTTCAAAGTTGAGTCATTTATTTTAGCAGCTTGTAGAACTCGTCAAAAGAAGTTGGTATACCAAAAATCACCTATATAAAAGTTGCATAATAAGTCTGTTAGTTTAGATTATTAAAAATTATTTGAAAAAATCATTATCGAGTTAAATATTGTCCCCTTCGGAAATTCTTGCTCGACTGATCCACTACTCTTCACAAGCTACGAAAATAAAATCCTGGTGTCCACGAATTAAATCGCAAGCATTTTCTGTGCGCTGTTGTTGTTCTTCCAGAGTATTTACTGCTCCGTCATGATACACCAACTCTTTCAAATAGCCACAAGAAATGGGTCCATTGCGCCTCATCCATCTATTGGAAACTCATTATTTAGATGTTTATGAACTTCTCGTCTAAAATGTGGTGGAGCCCCATCATGTATGAACCACATTATTCTGTCTCACATTTAGAGGAACATCTAATAATTGTGGCAGATTGTGTCGAAGAAATTCTAAATAAATTTCACCAGGCAGTTGAGGAAATTTCTTTAAGCATTCCATTTACCACTCCAGCCCAAACATTTAATGAAAATCAGTTATTTTTACAGCGTGGTGATTTTCTATTGGCCAAACATGATTGTTGTGGAAGTTGTGCACTCCATTTCCTGCAAATCTCTGTACACAAAATTAATTTCGTAAAATCTTCATTTCTGCCGAACTGTTCTAAAAGCCACTGGCAAAATGCAACTCTTCTAGGATGATCTTCAGGTTGTAAGGCTTGTTCTTTGATAATGATAATACTGTTCTTGTCGTATTATCTTCCACACTTTACTATGAGAAACTTCAACTTGAGCTGCTATGGCTCTAATACTCATTGTTGGGTCGTCTTCGACCATTTCTAAAATGTCTTTCTCATTTTGTAACATTTCATATTAAGTCTTCCAGCGTGACCTCATCGTTGTTCTTTTAAATATCCTGTATCACGAAGTCTAAGAACTAAATTTACAAACATCCGTGGAGCCGGATGATTTATTAAAGCAAACCTTTCCGCATACAACCTGTATGCTGCGATTGCATTTTGCTGGCACTCTCCGTATGTTGGTACTAGTTCATTGTTTTCGTAGACATGGACCATTTTTTCACACAAAACACAAATGATACGCACTATTAAAATACTTATACAACTGATCGAACCAAAGACTCGTACTGAAAACCATACAATAACATAAAAAGTTTGCCAAATTTAGATAAACGATCAGAGTAGTAAACAAAAAATGCTAAGATTTTACACGGAAGTGTTTGAATATATCAAAAAATCCTTGTAATGTTCTTATTTTTAGTCTAATAAAGCAGTTAAAATAAATGACTCAGTTTTGAAAGTATATCAAAAACAGTAAGAGGTTTGATTTTCTCACCTTGTGCTACCCGGAGCAAACTCTCCAACCTCTTCGCGTTTCTGTATCCTTATAGCAAATTGATACTCATCGAGCTTGAAGATTCCGCAAGTATAACGTAACCAGCTAGAAGTTTAAATTTCCCACCCTGTTAACAAATTTTCACATATAGGCAGCAGCGGTGGCCGCAGTAGTAGACTCTTCGGTCTCTCCTGATCAGTCGCCGTGCGCTGTGCGGGTTCGTATCCCGTCCCAGGAGAAAATTTTCTCTTGGCTATGGATGTTGTAATTGTCCGTAGGTGGTAGACGGTCTCTGACTGTCGAACGCGGAGGTACCAACCGGCGGATCTCGTAGGCGGAGCCAAAATGTGTGCATGTTGCATGTACACGTGTTCCCTCGCCAGAGTCCGTGAGGCGTTCCCCCCTTTCCCCTGTATCCCCCTATAGCCCCACGGAACCTAATGGGTGTTTAGGCCTTAGGCCTTCGTGGTAGTTGGAGTATAAAAAAAACTCGTCAAAATTGACGATTCTGCGAGAATAGATTGTTGCTATGACCGTCCTTCTACAGAAGATTCTGTATCAGGGTAACAGAACTAGCGATAGGTTTGAATTTCCCACCGAGTTTGCACCATACCTTCTCATGTCTCTGTAATCCTAATAAGTTTTCTGTCATGGAATAAAACAATTTTGGAATGATAGTTTGATACTATACACGAACAGCGAGAAGATATTAATTTCCCGCAATGTACCAGGAGCAAATTCTTCATACCTCCTTGCATTTGTGTGATCTTGATAGCAGAGGTTTTATCATAGAATTCGACGATTATCCAAAGGCAGCCAGATATCAGTTTTTACTAAAAAGATATTTACACGGATCAAAGAAGCGATAAGAAGTTTGAATATCCGGCCAATTCAAACAGCTGATACTCTCGCATTTCCGTTCCCTTTGGAATAAAGAGAAGACGGTAAAATTAAACAACTGTGTATATTAGGAAAAATTATTTATTATTAAATCTAAACAATCTGTATACATATTGACAAGACATAATGGAAGATTACAACATACCGCTTTATTTTACAATTATAATACTTTGATTGCCATTACTATGCAATCAACTGGACGGTAATCTTCATTGAAATTGATTACGAATTATATTCGACCTAATACGATTTTGGTATAAATTCAGTACGAAAAACTTCTATTAACTTTTTCACGCAGATCTCCTATTAGAATGTTCCAAAAACTTTATAAACATGTTGCAGAGGTATCGCCAATAGATCACACAAAACATCTCTTAGTCAAAATTATGATGGGCATGCTTCTTTGACAAACACCTACATTATTCTCAACTTTAAATAACAGACACCTTGTCTAATCTATCATCAATACCATTGATAATCTGCTTGTAAATGAAGTAATAAACAATGTCTGTAGCATCCAACTAAAAGCATTTGTTTTTAGAAAATTCTAGTAAGCAGTTCATCGACTTATTCTGTATACACAGGAAGATTGGTAGTTTTCAAGTAGGTATTCAAGAAACATTATTTTGAAGCGGATGTATGTACAAGTAAATGGTTTGTGATCGGGGTCTTCTATTTCCTTTAAATCGGATATCAGTTACCATCAGGCACGAATATTGCACATTTCACTAACTCTACGACACGTTAAGAATCAATTGCGCTTGAGGTAATAGACCGTTGAAGTTAGACAAGATAGGACTCCATTCTCTGGCCGAATCAAAACCACGCTTATGTTTAGATTTCTGTTTATTTTACGATGTTTCGTCCACCACTGTGTTCTTTTCAAGTACAATTGATAATAATGTGTCAATATATTTTGTTTTCTGTCTTCCAAGTGGCGTTTCCTGTTTCATATTAATATGGAATTTGTTACTACAATATTCTTAACGATCCTGTAACATGCTGAGACCAGAACCACCTGCGGTAGGCATTCTCGCTCCAAGAGAGACATCATTTTAAAGCGTTATGTCATTTTTAATGTATCAAACACGTCACCCTCGCCCGTCTTTCCAAAAACGCGAAAACCTACCCAGAACCCTTGTCTCAGCATAGCAGTTAATTGTTATGCAATCATCGAATACAAATGTTGCATCTGCAATGTTTATGGAACGATCAACGAGGGTCACATGTCTGGTAGATTAAAGACAGATAATACTATGCTCGCTTGTCGCTTTTGGGAGCTGGACGTATTTTTGGGACCGGGAATGCCCATCCCAGGTGGTTCTGGGAAACAAAAAACGAAATGTCACCTGGAAGACAGAAAGCAAAATATATTGTCATATAATTGTGAATTACGTGATCAATTGTAAAACGTGGTTTATGGTTTTGATTCGGCCAGACAATGTAGTAGTATGAACATGAAAACCACTGGATAAGTTTCAGGAGTTACATTATTAGACAAGATCTTGCGAAATGAAAAACAAGGTTTTCGAGGCGGTACGATCTCCAAAGATAAGATCAGCTCTGGTCCAGGAGTACAACACAGCACTCAATATCTAGCTGTTGTGAAATAATTGACCCTATTTGCAGCCTATGCACGATGCCATTACTTCCCTTCCCTGTCACAAGAGTGAATCGAAAATAAATGTCACCCTTTTCCCTCGAACTTTGTGATGGAAGGAAAGTAATCCCTTTAGTCTTTCCTTCTGGAGTATTTGACAGTTAGTGGAGGAATTTATTGCTTCAGTACGAATTTCTACGTGTCGATTCGACAAGTCAACAATCCTCACAGCAAGCTTTCGTAACAAGATGACATAATTTAATGAAGTATATGGGCTGGAATTGTGAACTTGGCTGGAAGGCCTGACATGATCAACATCAAATCTAACTGCTGATTAAAGTAGCCAGTTTTATTATTTTGTACTATGTACCTTTATCATTCAATTGTCAATTTCCACTAGTCTACAGCCTCTTACACTAACTTTGTCTTACCTATAATCATTTTTTATTTATTTGCCAGTCGATTAAACTAAATACGCTCATTTTTACAAGTGATACCCATGATACAACACAATCGTCTAGTTCAAACAGATTAAGAGAATTGCGGGATATCGTGAGATCAAATTTATCGATTAAAAACGAATGTCATAACTTAGGAACTTTTAATCAGAAAAACAAATTCGTTTTAATCGATATAAATCAAACGAAAACACGATATGTACCATTTATGTATTATCTACGTTGACGCTATTTTAACCAGTTACCATTCGTTCTGAAGTGGCATGTCAACTTTAACTTCCATGCTTTAAGAACTATTGCTCCGTGTGCGATAGTCCCATTTTGATTTCCCACCTAAATATTTTGAAAACTACGCACCCTAGAAAAAAGTTTCAAACAAAACTTATATGATTTCGAGAAGGCAAAATGAAGGTGGCCTTGACCACAACCTTCAAGATCATTTTATGGTCATATAAGACTCTCCCTTTTTGACTTCGGAATTGAAACAAGGAGGAAGTTCTACGTCTGAATGTGACCTTCAAGGTCCAATCAAAATAACAATTTGCTCTAGCAAAAATGTTCAACAGCAGTGTGAAGTTTGTGGAGATCAACCAAATATGCCTTGGACCTTGATCTTCAAGGTCAGGTCAAAATTTCCAAATGTCATAAGTTTCAGATGTTACATCCTACAGCTTTTGTTTGACACATGTTTTCTCTAGAATGCGCAGTTTTCGAAATATTCAGTTGGGAAAATTAAAATGGAACACCCTGTAAAGTCTAAGGTTACTGAGTATTAATATATGGTTACTGATTAGAGTAACGTTTGCATTGATAGTACATTTACCCTTGAAAATCAAGTAAGCTATAACAAAGCCTGCTTAATTTTTCAAAACAACAATTGGTTTCACATTGTTCAAAAAAGGTAAATATTCGATTTAATTATAAGACATTATAGACGCTTATATAGGATTGCTACAAAATATATATTTATAAAAGAATCGAACAATCAATACAATACGTACAACTTTGAAAAAAATATCCATTATTACTATACATGACAAAAAGAAAATTTAACGTAACAGCACCATAATATACATAGTTCTACGATCGCAGTAAAATTGGCTAACTCTCTAAGTTCACTGAAAAGTAGAAAAATATGGCTTCGATATTTAATGGTAATTTGACACTTACTTCAGGAGTTCTGTAATGGCTTTTTTACTCATATTGGAAATATTTTTAATTTATTTGTACTTCATAACAAAAAAATCTCATATTTATGTTCCATCTATAATTTTCTGTAAACGAACTCCTTACAATCAAATAATATCTTTTGTTTGGCACTAGGTATAAAACGATCTATATTACACTGAAAATTTCCGCCATACTTTTCACCTCTTTTTATGGGAAAACTAACAATAACTTACTACTCTTGCCACTTACTTTATTTACTTCTGCTCATTTTACTCAAATTGATTGAAATACGATGTAGTACCCCAATAAAACCGTGGTCTGGTTGCAGTTTTTATTAAACTTCGTTATCATAATGAAGCAAATACTTTTAATTCTTCTTTGCGTACTAGCGGATCGTCTAAAACGTGTCATTTTCGGCTTCATGACGATCGTTTCATCCAATACTGGATCATTCCGAATAACGGTGTCCTCCTTTTTTGGACACAAACAAACATTTTTGAACATATTCTGACCTTTGAGAATGTCTAAAACCAACGAACTATAACGCTGTTAGGCGGGGTGTTGTAGGTATGAACATATTACAAGAGTGCGAGGTAGCGGATCGTCTAAAACGTGTCATTTTCTGCTTCATGACGATCGTTTCATCCAATATTGGATCATACCGAATAACGCTGTCCTCCTTTTTTGGACTCAAGAATAAACATTTGTGAATATATTCCGATCTTTACGAATGTCTAAAATTACTGTACTATAACGCTGTTAGGCGGGGTGTTGTAGGTATGAACATATTACAAAACGAACGAAATCTATGTTTTCTAATTATATCTGATTGTTTGTTTGTAGAAAAAAATGAAGTATCAGGATTTTGATTGTCTTTTACAACATGCTTTTCAACAAAAAAAAAAAGAAGATTTTTCTTGTTATACTACATGATTGCAGATGGGAATGCGAATATCAAGAAACATACGCTTATTCTTTACATTCCAAGTTGTTCAAATCACGTTATCATGGAAACAGATTCTTATTATTACCCTGTAAGTATGCACGATCTTGACCCTGCAAGGCGTATCTGATATCTGAGGTAATGAGGCCACCTTCAAGCTTTCATGTAGATACTGTCCGGCTAGAGAGACATTTTTTGGTCAGTCAAATGTTCACCAAAAAACCTAACAACGAATTAGATATACTTGCACCAGGTTGTCCTTAGGTAATCGTAGTTTACGTCTTTATTAACGAAGCCTGATGTAAACTAGATTTAAACCATTGCTTTACCAGGGTACATGAAATCTACAACTATGAAATTATGTATCCCATCCGATTTTATGTTTTTACGATAAGGTAATATAGTTGTAGTAAACTTTCACAACACACAGCCAATTTTACCAGACATAATACAACTGATTTGATAATACAAAACCACCGAATATGCATTTTTATAGTACGGACCAGTCTTTATTGAAAGCGTCCAGCTCATTCTTTTAACTTAATGCTAAGAGAAGAATCAAAATTATGAAACTCGTTTATACAGGGTGAATGATCGAGACTAAATTTACTATCTTGGTATCTTGTGAAATTATTGCAATATTTCAACCGTCTGAAGTCTATACGTCTTTTTTAGTGAACTACACTTACAATTTGATCACCCTGTACATCAATTTCAATTCAACCTCATGTCAGTTCCTATTAATTTTCTTCATTGCGCCTATTTTTAGGCCTAACATGAACATTACATTATAGACGCAACACTTTCTCTCTCAGGGCGCATGTGTTTAAGTCTGTCGTATAGATACGATGGATGTTTGACTAGAAGATATATAGAACAAATAAAAGATAAATATTTTCTTCACTATCTTATAGGACCATTCAAAGAGCCACGTTGTAAAGTAGGGTTTTGAAATTGAAAAGGTACTTTTTGTTTTCGATTTAGATAACAATTCTAGTCTAAACTCAAAAGAGTATTCAGTAATGATTAATAGTTGTTACGAGTGACTGATTTAGAGGCACTTTTCTAAAACAAATATGATAGAGTTAACATCCCAGGATTGTCAAACGTTACTTATTTTCTCAAAGACAAAGCGTGGGGCATTGCATGTACTTTCAACGCCTGAGTACTCGCCGAGTTGGGTAATGGTCCGATTTGCTGATACCAGACGAAAAAGGATAAATACGAGTAAGACTAACCTCACTTAGGCTCTGATGGCTGATTTTTATATATACCGTATAAAACATTATACAAAGTTAATATTCAGCACTGCCAGACACTTCCCGTCAGCCATAACTTCTGCCAGATGATACGCTTTAAACAAGGTGCCCAGCAATAAATTGATCACTCTCCAACTTTTTTGAATGACTGTTCAAATACATTATATGTTTCATCCTTGATTGTTTTTGTATACTATGTCTCAAGAAAGTCCTATCAAATAAAGTAATATATGACATGACACTATTCAATAGCACTGACATCCTATACATAAAGAAGGAATTGTATGAAAAGCTTCATATTAGGCTAACTTTTGCATAGATAATTTTTTCTGAACGGTCATAGAAATTATGCTCTGCGTGAAGAGTCTGGCAATGCTTAATATTGCTTTGTCAAATGTTTTACAAATTGCATACGGAGAAATTCAGAACTCCCTGACGAGGTAATGTGTACGAGAGAGAAGTTCGAAAAGCGTGCAAGACGCATGTTAGAAAGAGAACGACCCCTTTCAACGCGGCAAGCCGTTTCTGCGTCCGTGGCCTCCTCACTCGGGTTGCTACGCAACATGGTGCTTCTATATTCACATAATTGAGAAAATAAGTAATATCTGGCAGCCCTAATATTGAAGAAAAGAAACATTATTGACATTCAGGTTATTGTGCTCAATGTGATCTACTCTGAAGAATTAGGAATCAGTATTACTCACGTTATTTGAGAAGAATCGGTCAATCTGTATGGGATGCGTCTTACAAAACTTGGACTTTTACGCTACATGATGGCAACATTTTGAAAAAATGTCAAAAAATGAATGACATATATGTTTCTTTTGCTCCATAATAAAGATGAACTGGCGCAGTTGATTGTTTTTATATTTTTATGATCTTGAAAAAGTATCCCTAAATGAATAACCCAGTACATCAAGGATATTCATAACAGTAACGTCATACCCAAATAAAAGTTTTCACTAACTACTCCCAGACGATTTGTTGATTGTCTACTACATCTACAAGCCCCGTTTATACAAAAAAGGTTTAAATAAATTAAAGGAAAATACTGGTCATATGCATTATTATACAAAATACTTGTTGAACCTATTATAGTACTAATATATTTCTTAGTTCAAACAAAAAATACTGTCTCAACTTCAAAACTCCTGTACGACTAATGCTGAAGTTTCTTTTCGGAATAGCGGCAGTAAGATATATACACACAAATAAAACAAAGAATCTATGACAAGTCTTTTAGCAAAACTGTAGGGTTTTGTTTATGTTTTACATTTTCAAAAGCAGACTAACTAAAAGAGATTGTCAAAGATGGTTTGTTTGAGGTTAAGAGGAATTTGCTACAAACAAATTCAATACATACTAGAGGTTGTCAGTCTTAAATTCAATAAGGAAATATCAAGGGTACCAGAATATTCGCTCTAGCTTTAATCATTCTTCTACATATTGGAGCAAAAAGTGCCACCAGCAATATGTAGAGGCTGGAATTGGCATTCGGACACTCCAGAACCACGATTTTGAAGGCACCACTCATGAAGACTATTTATAGGAGGTTACACTGTCTAAGGGAAGACAGGCATTCGTACAGAAGGTGAGGAGGACGAGTCCCTCAGAAATGCGCGCGTAGAGCTTGTTTGCATGTACGAGGCTTGTTCAATAAGTACCCGTATTTGACGACAGAGGGAAGTTGGTGTTATCATCGTGTGCTGTCAACTATCAAACGACGGCACAACAAATTTCAGATTGATTGATACGTTGGCAGCCATTCTAGTAACACGAGTTTCGTGATTTTCGCTACGATGAAAAAAGAGCAGTATCATTTGGTAACTCGCTTTTTGTTTTTGGATAGGAAAAAATGCGAAGAGATAAAATCAAAGTTGAAGGCTACGACGATATTGTTATGATCATGCAGTGAAACGGTTTTTTTTTTAAACGAAAACCGTACATCAGACTGAAAGAAATTAAGCGAGCCAATTTGCTTAGAAGTAATTGGTGGTTTTTAGAATAATTTTCATTTTAAGAGAAATCAATTGCGTGCCATCAATATACGCTAAAATAGGCGAGTATAATTTCGTACAAACGCCACTGGTGGATATTAAAAATGCCTCTTGATACATAGTGTGAAAAATTTCATTAAAATATCTAAGTGGTACTGCAAACCTTTATTTTTGAAAACATTACCAGCCTGTATCTCAAAAGTTACGACCCTTAGAACATACCTTCACATGAAGTTTTTTCTTAAAATGGAAACAAAATTGACCCTTTCAATGTTGAGATTAAATTAGGAAACATCCTGTATATACTGAAGCAGCCGCGTAGGCAAAAACCTAAATACCGGAGCACCGCGACTGCGACAAGACACATTTTTAATTCGATTGTTGAACTGTATGTGCGAAAGTTCGACAGGGTTAGGATGGGGGCATATGTGCAAAGCCTGTTGATATAGCGGTAAAAAAGAGCTAAATCGTCCGTTGGTACGAAATGATCCCGAGACTGCCCGTTAGCGCAGTGTCATCGATCAGACATTTTGCAAAAATTTTGTTCAGACGAGAAACTTATATTAAGTATTTTCCATAAAACAAATTAACCATACATGTTTTGACTCGGAAATCGTTTCCATCATACTGATATTTTCTAATTATAGGCATATCTTAAAAAACAGAGTAATAAATTTGAGAACATTAATAACGTTACTGCAAAATTGGAAGAAAGTCCTTCATTTATTTTTGGGAATAATTGGCTGCAAATATCATCAATCCACAGTTTCAGTCATATTTGACAGATCGATAGAGTCCGACTCCATTGCTGGAAAATGGTTCTTGTGCAAATTGTCGATTTGTGTGGCAAATCTCAAACTATCGCGCTGACCCTGCTCCTATTCTTGAAGCAAAAACAGTTATTTTATAAATATCCTGTAAAATGGAGTCATCATTCCAAATCTAAATTTGCTTTAGCGTCCCCTGATATTTCCGAATCGACCAATACAATCCTTTGAAAATCATCCCCTATTAACCCCCTTAGTCTTCCTCGTTAAGGCTTCCTTCTCGTGCGACATACCTCCCTGCCCCCGCCTTCTATGTTTTCTTATCGAACAGGGGCAACTTAGACCTGACGGCCCCTTCGCAGATTACTAATCTTGAGGTACATTTAGGACGCTGGCCAGGGGAGGTCCCGCTGCCGGATGCCCCCTGGTTGTGACGCTCCAAGGAGCGACGTAAGGCTGCTATGCGGGAACTTAGCTGGAGACCGGCACGGACTCCTGAAAAAAAAACATAACAAATGTAAAAATATACAGGGTGGCTCATCCATGTGTAGCCGGAATATTACTCATAAACAAATACATTTTGGGTAAATCTGTTTATGGGATGTTATACATGACATTTGGGGGCACATTTCTCAAATATTGGCCATTATACAGGGTGTCCCAGTTTCGGCCTACATATCAAAGTTGTGATTTTTCAAATGGAATGTCTCAAATTTTATTGCATATTTGGATGAACCAATTCAAAAGAAGATAATAACATAACATACTATGGGGTTTTATTAATTAGCTACTGAGATATTAGGTATTTTGTCTAGAAAACTACTTCGGCAACCCCTCAGTCCGCCATTTTGAAATTTGGAGTGCTGAATGTTGTATCAAAAAAAACTTACACAAGTACTAAAATAAAAAGAAAAATGGTCATGAACGTTTAAAATACATTTAAAATACATCTGTTCAAAAATATTTAGCTGCAAAAATCTCATAAATGCGATCAACTTAGAACTTGAGTTATTTTCAGGTCCAAAAAGCCTCCTTATAGACTCTGGCCTTCTATTCGAATCTTACACCAGTTTCGTTTTTAAGTAACCTGTTATGAACACTTGTTATATCGAAAAAAAACAAATGTCCCTTTAACTTACCCCCAGGATGCCTCAAGGTGGCTCCTTTTCTTTCAAAATAGTCGACAATGGTGGATATATTGGGCTGTAGATCAGGAGGCCAATCCGTACTAGTCAGACTGCTGATATCTTCCGAGCTATCTGTGTATATAGAAGAGGCCCGTTTACACAAGGCATGCAATTCTGCAGGTTCCAACTCGTCCAGACTCCGAAGACTACTAACCGCGGTCCCTGAAATTAAAAAAAACAAATCAAATTCAAATCTCATTTACGCCGCGTGGAAACAAAACCAGCGTCCGATGTCCAAACTGTTTCCATTGGCCAGCGGGCCATAAATTTGTACCAATATAGACCAACCGTAAATAAAAATAATTGCATATTCGCTATTGGTCGGTAACTCGATCTGCAAGCTTCTACGAGTAAGGGAGTAATAAGTTTAAAAACATCGCTTTTAATTGTGCTTAATCATTTTTTGTGCCCTTTATTGTGGATTTTTTCTTCGATCGTAACTTGTTAACAAATTTCAGTACAGCTCTGAAATTGTAAGTGAATATTCCACTTTTGTGAATAAATGAAACGGGCGATTATTTTTATTCTTCTCAATTTTTCTCTTCGAAAAGTCTTGGCTTTTCTTGAAAACTCAACTTGCAGCGAGACCAGGCTTCAAGAAAATCGAAGATTTTTCGAAAAGAAAAAGTGATAAGAATTAAAGTAATCACACAATTTCAGAGCATTGTTAACAAGCTCCTATTGAAGAAAAAAATGCACAAATAATGCATTTTTTGACAAAAAATAAATGAAAACATTCTTTTTTAGTCGTCTCTATACAGGGTGTTTCAGAACTATGGGATCAAACTTGTAGGGGTTATTCAGTGTACAGTAGAAAACATTTGAGTATAGGGACCCATATCCGGAAAAGTGTCACTACAGCACTACGGCCCTAAGACGCGTGAAAATTTAGAAAGACAATGAATTGCCTAAATAGGATTTAATGCATTTAAATTTTGCCTTTTGTACATGATATCATCACAAAAATTGTTCAAAATGTCTTCCTCCAACCTGAATACACCGATTTAAACGTCGCACATGATTTCGGCGGACTTGACTAAAAATTTGATACTCGTTTTGAATGATTTCAAATGCTGCTGTAATTCGTCCAATTGAGTCTTGATCTGTTTCTACTGGAGTTTCGTAAACCAAAGACTTTACATGTCCCCACAGGAACGGTGTATTCAGGTTGGAGGAAGAACAAAAGGCAAAAATTAAATGCATTAAATCCTATTTAGGCAATTCACCGTCTTTCTAAATTTTAACGCGTCTTAGGGCCGTAGTGACACTTTTCCGGATATGGGTCCCTATACTCAAATGTTTTCTACTGTTACAGTGAATAACCCCAAGAAATTTGATCCCATAGTTATGTATACTGTATACACCATGAAATTATCAGATGAAAAGGATTTAAAATACTCCTGCCAACAGGTGGTTGAAAAAAAAATCTAAAAAAAGGGATGCGCCACTGTAATATTTGTTTACTCTCGTATATTAACGTCCTGAATCTGCCCTTCAAATTTCCTGATAACACTTTGTAAATACGATCCTAACGGCCAACTCTTACCTCCGCTATCTCCCCATAGACTTCCGGGACTGAGGCACTCACCAACGGATGAGTAGAATCCAGACTCGCAACTGCCTCTTCGCCTCAAAAGAGCCCCCCCAGGAGCCGAAGTCGCCGCGGCCAGCTCGCACAAGGTGGAACCGGAACCGCAGGATCTCAACAAACCCGAGCTCATTTCGGTTACTGTTGGCACACCTATACTGCATCTGATCGATGCTGAGGACGATTTTCGAACTGATACTGGAGAACCTGAAATATGGAAAAAAATATGAAACTCTATGACATTAGATTTTATGACGAAGTAGGTAAAAAAACCGATTAATAATTTCCAGTTTCATGTAAATCCGGTACAATGGAGTAGTATTATTCTATTCTGACTGCAGTAATAACGTGAAACAATCAAAAAAAGTATTTCAATCTGCAATGGCTTACTAGATTTAGACACTCTATGTACCGGTAATCTTAACACCGGCCGTTGGCACTCTTGGTATCAGTGGTGTGCTAACGCGTATACAGCAGCGAACAAAAGCTTTTTAAACAAATATTAACATTATTATTAACTACTGCGTGTACCTAAATTAAAATTGTGAAGAAACATATAATATAAATATTAAAGTCTACCTTTGACTCCCGTACTAATAAAAGGTTTATCTTATTTATCAATATTCAAATTCTCTGAAAATAAAAACACGCGTTTTTTAAATAGGTACCACAGTTTTTGTAACGACAAAAGTATGGAAACATTTCAGTTTTGCCGTATTTATTCGTTATGCGATACTCTGATATTGGCTGCGGTAAATATTAACAACAGTGAGAATGACAGAAGAAAAAGAATTCTCAAAAGGTTTAACAGACAAAGTAATTGAATTATTTAGAAGTGGTGTCAGAAATCTTGACATTTCTCAAAGATCAAAAATGAACAAAGGGAACGATTTCGAAAATTATTAGTAGATATCAAGAATACGGATGAACAGCAACGCGGCCCAGGTGCGGAAGACCGAAATGAACCGATGTTGATTTGGATCGCTACATTAAACGTTTGTGCCGTGAAGATCCTCGCCAGCCACACAGATTTTCAAAACAATAGTAAAAGAGGGTACCGAGAATTTTTCTGTCAGAACAGTGCAGAGACGCTTGGTGGATTTAATTTAAAAAAAAATCGTATTGCTCGGTTTGAATTTGCTGAAACTCAACTAACTTGGACAGAACTACAATGGAATACAGTTTTATGGAGAGATGAAAGCAAATGTGAGAAGTCCAATACGAAAACAATTCGACAAAATGTATCAGTTGCAAACAGTTACGGTGGAGGCAAGCAACATCATGGTTTGGGGCTAGAACAGGTTCAATTGTTAAAATTGTTGGGAAAATGGATCAAAAACTTTACAAAGATATTCTTAGTGAACACATGCTCCCTTTTACTGAAGAAGAAATTCCTTTACGATGGATATTCCAGCAAGATAATAATCCCAAGCATACCCCAAAATTCGTAAAGGACTGGTTAAGAGTAAAAAATGTTAATGTTCTTACATGGCCTTCGCAATCCCCGGACCTAAACCCTATAGAACATCTCTGGGAGCATGTTAAAAGACAACTGACAAGACAAACTTTAAAAAATCGGAACGATTCATTTGATTAAGTAAAAAATATTTGGCAAAATATCCCAACAGACATCTGTAAAAAATAGTGTCTTCTACGTGCAGCAGATGTTAGGCAGTGTTGAATGTTTACATAGTTTTGTCGTCTCATTTTCGGTCATAAAAATAATATGAAGGTATTTTAATGCTAATCTGTAGTACCACAGTAAACACAAATTGTCATTTGTATCCTCATGACTGTAAGCAAACTATATGAAAAAAAAATAGTCCTTAATAATAAAGAATAATAAATTAGCACACTTTTTAAAAATTATTAAGAATGTTTCAAAACTTTTGTATATCGCGTCGAGCATTGCAAATGTTAATTTCGGGCCAGTCATTGAAAACTGTGAATATAAATGTCATTTTGGAGATAATTTGAGCCAAAGCAATTTGAAAAACATCTGGAACAACAGTTTTATGAGTACACAACTAAAGAAATGGTGAAATATAAAACCCTACAAGATGGAACAGGTCTGCAGTTTCAATTTAGAATAAACATACTATAAAACAACTACCTGAAGAAAATGTTTTACCTCTTGAATCAAATCAAATCACTAAAACAAAGCGACGCGAAAAGAACCGAAGCCAAATTTGACACAGTACACGTCAAATGAACCCAATGGAAGCTTCCCATTAATGGGGCCTTAAGAGTGAGAAACAAACATCCTTGCACCCTGAGTACATTTTGTTGGGAACATGAAATATTAACTATGCTTACCAGGAAGTGATTTTGGCAATTCCCCAACGTCTCGATCTATACCTTCAGCCATCATGACAGCAGGCATTTCGCAACATGACGAAAATCCACCAACAATTTTGCTAACCCCGTGCCACCTATAAACATAGTTTGTCATAAGAACCAATAAACATAATTTTTCATTTAGTCATATAAACCTTTAATTAGAAAGTGAAATACCTTTCAAAGATAATGCTTTTTCAAAAGAAATTCATCTGAAATATTTGGATTCAAAAAAATGTACAATTAATAAAAGATGAAAGATTATTTATTTGGTTTTGAGGTACTGCTAATGCAGTTCGTATCCTTTGAGCATATAAACCGCTCAATACCGTAGGTATATAGATGTCTTATACCTAAATAAAGGATAGAAGATATAGTTTATATATATATATATATATATATATATACGAGGTCTGTCCGGAAAGTACTGAGACAAGATGCACTTCTGCCGTTTCCACTGTTGATACGATCGCTGAAAGTCTTCAATTGTGAGGCTCTTCATTTGCCGTATTGTTTCTGCCTTGATGGCTTCCACACCCCCCAAGTGCCGCTCCGGAAGCACCATTTTGCATTTTGGGAACAGAAAGAAGTAGCAAGTGGCTAAATCGGGTGAATAAGGCGGGTGATATGTCACGGTGATTGAGCTTGGGGCCAAAAACTCAGTCTCAACGAGAGAGGTGTGAGCAGGCGTGTTGTAGTGATGAAGGATCCACCTGTCCCCTTGTGCCAAATCCGGTCGAACTCGGGCCACACGAGCTCTTAGGCCCGTATCGTCAGTCGTCTCTACAATTGTAGGGCGCGTTTATGGCCTCCTTGATTGTCATACTCCTTTCTCTCCTTCAAAAATTTCTAGATTACACTTGTCCCGTTTCAACGTCAGCGCTCTCCTATTGTGAAGATATGTTTTCTTTTTAAATTGTAGGAAATTTCAGGCTGATAAAACATGATATAACTCAAAAGCAAGTACAATTTGATGCAAATAGATGTTTGTGACATAACCTCAAAATAAAGCGCTGACACGGAGAAGTAGAAAACTATGACAATCAACGAGGCCATAAAGGCGCCCTACAATTGTAGGGACGACTGACGATACGAAAACATATCTTCACAATACTAGAGCGCTGACGCTGACACGGCACAAGTGTAATCTAGAAATTTTTGAAGGATAGAAAGGAGGATGACACTCAAGGAGGCCATAAACGCGCCCTACAATTGTAGGGACGACTGACGATACGGGCCAAGGACGACGCAAAACTTCAATGTATAAATTTCCGTTCAGTCTCTGGTCGGTGAACCATGATCCGAGAATAAAAAAAACAATCAACATTGTTTTAACGTTGGACCTTGATTTTTTTGACTTTTCTGCCTTCGGTTCCTCTGCTTCCAATCAATCCTCACAGCAAGCAACCCTCCTTGCTTTCTGTTCTGGAGTCAAGAGTTTCGGAACGATTTCCTCGCACAATTTTTTGATTTCAAGTTTTTTGTCAAAATTTCGTGGACGATTGTTTTGGGGACTGACAGTTCCATTCTATCTGTCAATCGACGGTCTTTAAAAACGCAGCCCCGAATTCGTTCAACATTTCCCTAGAGCTCGATGTGGAGGGGCGTCCTGAACGTTGGTCATCTTTCACATTTTCTCGGCCTTCCCGAAACCTTCTCAACCACTTGTTGACGGTTGGTTCCTTCCGAGAATTGTCTCCGTAAGCTTGTTCCAAACACTCAAAAGTATTACGACCATTCTTGCGTAGCTTTGCAAGAAATTTGATGTTGATACGCTGTTCGTCGATCAGAGAGAGCTCCATGCTGACGGCAGGTGAAAAAGGGTTACTTTCAACAAGCACACGTCAATCCTACTTAGTCGCAGAGCGCTCCGGCTCGAACTGAGCATAGAGGGGATTGCATAGATAGAGCGAACCACCGGACCACCCCTCCACAACGCCTGGACACGTCGAATTTTTTGTACATGTATTTTCCGGAAAAACCTCGTATATGTATATCGTCGGACATCTGACATTTTTGCCCAATTTGAGGTATATGCACATTTTTCTTCGTCTACCTACAGCACACATTGTGATAGAGTCCGCTAACTGCAGAAAAAATTATTTTTTGAATTATTCAGCCAAAACAATACCTATCACTGGCAACACGTCTGTCGATGAGCGGCAATTCCAGCTATCTGACAATTACGCGTGCTATTTTTCTTAACTTTGCAATGAAACACGACGTTGTGATTTCTCAGAAATATCTCTCCAAAGGAAACACCCAAATGGTATGTGACAATGTAGTTACGGACATCAAAGTACTATATTATAATCCCGATGGAAAAATTGAAGTGAAACTAAACTTCAGCGTAGAGCCTCAGGAGTTGCCTATGAGACCAAAACAGCTACCCGTCATTTTAGATTATAGGTGTTATATCTAAGGACTGTCACATGTTTAACGACAATTTGCCATATGTCAAGGAAAGAAGCTGAACGTTTATTTAAGGTGTAACTGAGAATACATGCTATTATCTTGTTGATTTGTAAAATCATTAAACTTTTAATTTGATATAATGAATAACAGTTTTTCTAACACGAATCTCACTAGATCCAACTATGCATCATAGTACAATATCTGCTAACTGCAAGGAAAGTTATCAGAACTATCAGCTATCTGCACCAATTTTGTCAATTAGAGCTTCATTTAGATAAAAACGCATTAAATATGTGTTAAACGTCATTTATTTTTTGTGACCAAAGTTGTAGAGTCTTAAGGCCGGTAGAATGAAATTGATAAGGTATTTTCCGTCCCCTGTAAAATTACAGTTCCTGCATATAGCAGGTATTGTCAGATGAACGACGATATATTACCGCTTTAAATCATAATTTGATGATATGTGGATAAACTTGGTATGATCCTTCAAACAAGTTTATAGCTATATACTCTGGCTGGCTTACCTTCCCAACTGGGCGAAGGGATTCGTAGTTCTAGGCTTGTAATGTGGATCCTCTCTACATGCGATGAGAGCGTGTCTCCTGGCCTTGTCACTTGGAGTGGCTGCACAGGAGATTTGCAACATGGCGATGTCTTCGCTGAGAGACCGTCGGTGGTGACCTGAAAAATAAGAAGCAAATAGAAGTCAGAAACATGTTTCTTGTTTGCAGAAAATATAACGTAGGAGGAAAGATTGCCTGCATCATGTATGATAACCTAGATCAACAGCTGCTACGGCTTACTGTTTGAAACGGCTCACTATACTCAACAATACGTGAAAATGTTTTTTTCTAATTTCATCGTTATCATTTTTATGAATCGCAAAACAAATTAGTGGTAATCGGAAATTGCCTGAAAACATATGTACATAAGAAAAGGCATTCTAAATTAAATAGAAATGGTTACAATCGGAAAAATACATGCAAGTTGAATTAACAAATACTTACCTGCCAAATAATATGATTTGTTAAGCAAAAATTCAAGTGTTATAAACATGCCTAGCACCAAAACGAAGAATAATATAGTCGCAAAGCATTATATTTCTTCATTGCATGCAAAGTATTGAAAGCTGTTATTGCGAAATAGTTAGCTCTGTTGAATATCGAATGTCCAACAAAAGTCCTTCCGATATCTACATAAAGAGAGCAAATGTTCATGAGCTTTTCGTAATTTAGCGTTAGTTGCTTTTTGCACCTTGCGCCTCCGCTAGCCTACGATTTGGCGCCCAAATAGGCGATTGGTGGCGCACGCTATTTTGCGCATACACTTGATTCTTCACACATCTGTACAACTTGGCCCAGGAGCCTACGATTTCGCGTACCCTCCTGCGATTTGGCCCACCGAACTATGGATAGGTATCTTGTCGATTTGGCACACATGCCTCCGATCTGGCGCCCACTCTGCATGCGGCCAATGTGGTGCGCAAGCGAACAATTCTCGGTCGGTTTTGTTGGTGAAGTGGTGAATCAATATAGAAAACTAATAGGTTGATCATGCATTTCACCACTAGCAACACGCTTTACGTTTCCCTCGTGCTGATCTGGCAACAAGTCTAGGATTTGGTGCCAGCCCTCTGGATTTGGCGCTCTTCCCTCCGACTGCGAGCACCAGCGTCAGATGATCAGCCGTTTTGGTGCGCCTGAGACCGATTTTATGCATATGCTCCTAACTTAGCAACAAATCTACGATTGGGCGCCCTCCCTCTCGATTGGGCGGACTCTCCTCCGATATCGAGTATGAACGAGCGACTTGGCGAACTGTTGCAGATACTGTCAGATCGAAAATGTACAGGAAACTACCTTAATCATTCAAAACACATATATTTACAGCAAAAGTAAGTTCACGCATTTCTAGAAAAAAACACCATTTGCAACATGCTTTACGATTCTTCTTCTTGTACGTACTTTTCCTGTGATTTGGCGCTCCGATGGGTCCGTCGACGTGCGCCAGTTGCTCTTCGCTTCTCGCGGCTGCGCACGCTGCCGATTTGGCGCGCAACTGTTGTTGTTGAGCGGCGGTGTCCAGATCTGCCAACACGTCGGCCAGTGATCGGACGATGTCCGTAAATGATGGGCGGGATGATGGGTCTATCGAACAACACCTGGGAACAAATCATTCAAAGATTATGCCGTCAATTTAGCTTTGAAACTTTGCAAGTTTTAATTTTATGTGAAATAAGGTTTTGTCACATATGCATTGGGGTTAAAAGCTCGATTATCCGACCCCTCTCAAACTCGGAAAGTTGAGTGAAATTAGCGCTTCTGCGAGCTCTAGGCATGATAATGCAACGACAGAACAATGGAACTAACACAGAAAAATCACTGAATATTAAGGAAGCATATTCATATTGTTCGGATCCTGATATGACAAAAAAGCCTCTACAAAAAAGTACGGCTCTGAATGCCTTCAACATTTTATCAACGTATACTTCCATGATAGCAAATATGTTTACAAGTTTTTATTAAAATTCAATAAATAATTCTGGGTGTTGCATTTTATATGTCAGTATATTTATCTGTCTCCCAGATGAAGGTTGATTTGTTTTTTCTTCGCTGCTGTACAGAATGTTTCGACTACTTGAACGGTCCGAGGTCGCGTAAAGCCGTAATTGCAATTTTAATATGGTCCCGCATAAAACCAGAAAAGTCCATGATCACCTAGGGTAGGCATTCCGGCTCACAAAAAACGTTCAGTCCTTCCAAAGTGACAAGCGAGCATTGGGTGTATTAAACACGTCACCCCCGTCAATAAAAACCCGATCGAGAAAGGCCGTTGTGAATTTTTGATAAAGTGAAGATTCTTTCCGAAGTGAAGAAGATACACCCTTCCCTAGCAAGAAACTCTTTTTGGAACTGTTTCGACGAGGGGGCGGAAGCAAACACCTTGAACAATGAAAATTTCTCCCAAAAAATGCTATTGGTAGAGAACATTTATCTGAAAATGGTAGAATTAAGCGGTTAGAAATTAGTGACCGTCCATATGCACGAAGGACAGTAAATTATACGCAATATCCAATTTTGGCAAAATTTGTCAAAGTATGTCTCTCGTCTCCCTGTAGCAGCGTATACAGTGAGAGATCGTCGTCTAAATCCGGAATATTATACGAGGAGCAACGAAACCAGCTAACTCGCATTGGTGAAATTGCAATTTAGTAAATTATATTCACTAATTCAGGGCTAACAGGTGATTTTACCTTTAAAATTGTTCTACTTGCAATAGAAATAGACATTTTTTTTACTCTGAAATTTACTTTGATCTCAAACCTTTGTTAGCTAAGTTTATTTTTTAACACAAAAAAAACAGTTTATTTATCATACGACTTTATATTTAATGTAGTATTAGATAAGAAGCATCGGCTGTTTAATTTCAATGACTAAAGTATGTATTGTGGCAATACAAAGAATGTTCAAATATTTAGCGTTTCTTGTTTTATCACTAACCTGTTATCGGCCAACGCATTCAGACTAGGAAGAAGAAGCCAGCCAAGGATTTGCTTGTCTGTTACTTCTCATATTCTGTAGTCAGGATCAAAGTGCACCTGACAATTCATTTTTTTACAGTTCTGTCATTAAATATGTATTTTTGTGTTTGTTACAGTGTGAGTGTTTGCAGATACTTGTGGTGATAGACAACTTCAGAACACGACAATTCTTGTGTAATTTGCGGCACAATTCCAATGAAGGTAGAAGCTTCCACCAGCAAGTAATATTATTATGTTGGTACAACCCTGACACTTGGTGGACAAATGAGTTAAAAGTATGCACCAAAACTACGCAATTTTGACACACAGTGCAATGTAAACACGCCTGGCTCCTGATCTACAGTGCAACTCGCTTATAATGGACTCGGCGGGACTGTGACAAATAGTCTATTATAGGCGGATGACTATCTTAAAAGAAACACTTTTTTTAATGAAAAAAGCAGCATAAGTAACATATTAAAAGCGTAAAATGTGTTTGTTTAACATGTATTACAAAAATAAAGATACATACATTAAAAGTTATACGTAATTTTGAAATCTGCATTTTTTCAGAATCTGATACACATATTACAGGCATACGTACTGTGTAGGTATGTGAAAAAACCGTAAATTATTTGGTAAAAAAGCCAGTAATTTTCATTTGAACAGATAGTTTTTTTGAATAATTACATATTTAGAACAGCAAGTTGAATTTTATTTAATTTGGTAAGTGTGGCCGTACTGTCTTCTTCTTGCTGAAAATAAGGTTGCAACTCTGTCACGCAGTCTAATGCCTCCTTAGTTGTCGCTGGAAGCTCTTCTTCATCGTTGTTTTCTAGTTCGTCTTCCTGTTCGTTATCAACGGATCCTTCATTAACCAAATTGGAGTCTGACAATTCCTGTGTTGGTATTAAATTATTGTCAACATCTACATACTCATTAAATTTGTCTATATTCAGTAAACTATTAATTTTCAGTAAATCACTTAATGGAATTTCATCTCCTGGATTAAAATTGTTGACTATTTCAGTTATCTTTTTTACTAAACCAGCATGGCGAAAACTATTACGAATCGTTTCTGGAGTAACCAATTCCCGTGCAATTGTAAGACAATTTATAACATCGAAAATGGTGACAGACTTTCTAATGTTGACGTCTTCTTGAAGCTCCATAATTTTCATCAACATATGTTTCCGATACATTTGTTTAAGACTCCAAATTACACCCTGATCCATTGATTGCAGAACTGATGTCACATTGGGTGGAAAAAATTGAAGGTTGATGTTATTAAGTGAAATATTTGGATGAGCGGGGCAGTTACCGACCAAGAGCAAAATTTTACGATTTTTCTTAACACGTTCAGCGTCCCACTTTTTTTAAATATTCTTCATAAATTGATGAAGTCATCCAAGCTTTATTATTTCCAAAATAATCGACGGGAATTGTTTTAACATTTTTTAAACACCTGGGATTCTTAAATTTCACTGAAATAAAAAAAGGTCATAAACTCATTGCAGCGCTGCCATTGAATATCAAAAAAATTAGAACATGAATTTATATTCATTCACTATTATCAATAGTTTCCGTTTTTCAGTACCAGAAGCATTAGCACAAATCATAACAGTTATTCGCTCTTTTGATAGTTTCCCTCCATTGCAAGTTTCACCTTTTAATCATGAGTTTTATCTGGTAGCATTCTATAAGATATTCCGGTTTCATCTGCATTGAATATGTTATCATCTGAATAATCACTGGATATTACGGGCCAAACTTGAGACATCCAGTCAATGGTAACGTTCTTGTCAACTGAAACTGACTCACCACACATTTTCCAAAAACAATGTTATGTCTTTTCTTAAACCTGTCTAGGCAACCGGAACTACATTTGAAGTAATCTCCAATCAATTTCCCAAATTCTTCAGCCTTTATTTGTAGCATAGGTCCACTTATTGGAAAATTATTAGCACGCTTTTGTTGAAACGATTTAAACAGCTTATCATCGACTTGGTGATGCAGCGATAGCCGCATTTTTTTCTTTTGACAATTTGAGTTCCAGTCGTTTTTAATTTTGTCACGGTTTTTCCAAATATTTGACACAGTGGATTTTTTATAGCCATATGAGCCCATATATTTGCTAGATAGACATGAACATTGTTAAGTGAATGCACGTTTCGCACTTTTCGACATGTTTATAACTCTAATAAATACAGTATAACGCTGGTGGCCAAGTTCGAATGCAAACTGCAAAGCCAAACCGTCGTAAACGATTGCATCAGCTAAATCTGCTTCGGGGAACGACCAAAATAGCTCGCATATAATGGATTAAAATAGTCCGCTATAAGCGAGGGTCTATTTTAAGCGAGTCTATAATATCCGAGGTTTTTACATGCAATTATTTATAGGATCTTAAATTGTGTACATTATATACGGGTTTCCATTATAAGCAAGTTCATTATAACTGGATTCCACTGTATTTAGATTCGTTGCTTTCGTCAACCACTAGAGCTAGTATTCGGTATCTGGCCCGATAATAAACTGTAGCCGGATACCGAATAGTAAGTAACTGGATATCCTTTGCAACCGCAGTTTATACATACATATGTGGTTTCATTTGGCCAGAAAATGATGGCAATAAGTATGTATTTACTCCCAGTAATTCACCTTCACGCAGGGTATTTACTTAACTTTACATTAGTGAAAATGTTCACATCTTTTCATCTGCCCGCATTTCTTAACGAATACCTACTTACCTAAAAGCCAACGTAAGAAAATCAGGTACAACGTTGGGTCCGCACAGCTCGGTGAAGGCCAAATAATCCAATCCGAAATTGTCCGTCCTGGGCAGATAATCGGGATCCGCATCCACCCTGGCGATCAGCTCGCACAGAACGATTCCGTAGCTGAACACGTCGCTACGTTGGTCGTACCGTCTTCCGTTCAGCATTTCCGGTGCCATCCAATAGGGGGAGCCCACGATGGGCAGCTGAGTGGGCGCTGACGGATCAGGGATGGTTGTAGAAAGGCCGAAATCGCCTACGAGGGCTTTCAGACGGTGGTAGGGTGAGGGGGAAGACAGACGCTTCACTAGCACGTTCTGAAAAGTAGAAAATGTATGTTAGGGGAAAATCTGAGATTTCGAGAAATTTCGCTAAATTGGCAACACTACCACAAGTCATCCACGGGGGCTTGCAGACAGTGGTACGGCGATGGAGACGACAAACGTGTCATTAACACGTTATGAAATGTAGAAAATGAGCTGTTGGCTTTTGCATATTTTCGACAACAGTTCGAAGGTAAGAGTTACTATGACATACGTTTGATGCCAGAATTTGATCCCAAGCTTCTGAATGGCTCTTGCCGTCGCGCGTAGTATTAACCCTTTGCGGCTACGTTTTTTAACTTTATACTAGAGATACATAAAAAAGTCTTGACATATATAAAATGACCCTTCAAATGTCATATAGTATGTTACCACCACACAGCCGGTCATCATAGATATTATAAATGGCAACACTGGCAGTGGTCTGGCCGGTCCTGCCATTTACGGCTAGTGACATAAAAACCGCTGGCAAATAATCAAGAATCAGTAGGTTTAAAGAAGTGTTTTTTTCTAGAACTTCGCATCATTTCACTCCCCAAGCCATTGACGAGGAAGTGTTGTAACTGCAAAAATTTTCGAAAAGGAGATGTTTTACTGTTACATGGCATGTACATCACGAAAAAACATGTCACTTGTTTCCGTCGGGCTGTCTGTTGGTTTGTCTATCAGTCTGTCTCTGCGGAAACGCAAAGAACCTATGTTAACAAAATGCTGTGGGGTGGTCCTACATAATGTAGCACTAACCGCTGGCTCATAACTGACTGGATGGTTCAGCAACATTGCCAGATGGTCGATGCTGTCGGTAGGGCAGGGGAGACATATCTATATCGCAGAGTTATCAAATTGGTATGGACGAACTAATGATATGAGCCTTTTTGACAAACTTGATCCATTTAATTTTTTTGATATACATGTTCGTAGCGAACATTTCCCTCAGAGGGGCTAACTTGTGCCGAACATAATAACCTAAACATCTCACCAGCCCCGCCCCCAGCCTGCTACCTGTCAACCAACATACCTAACCTACAATTTGACAAAACATTACGCAGAACTCAAAAATACCAAAACTGACAGATGTGACCTACCACACAAAGATTGTATGTAAATCTATACTTTTGTTTTATGGTATCTCTTAAATTTAAGTAAAAATAAGCATAATACAAAATTCACTTAATAACCGCTTCTCGCATTGGGCATTTTAGAGATTGTCAATGACATATGACAGAAACGATGAGGCAATCATTCGCGGTAGTTGATTCTGTCTTATTTCCATTTTGATGAAGTGATGACAGGATTGTGTGGGAAGTGCAGAGTCAACCGACTTGACGCCATTTTTTTTTTGGTATAACATAAATAAGCAATAAGCTATTAGTTTATCAATATAGGTAATTAAAGAAATCATGTAGTCCATAAAAATGTAAAACATTGACTGACTGCGCAAATGTAGCGCATATCAACAAAAAACGTTGTAGGTAAATATTTTGCGTATCGTCTGTATTTTTAGTAGCATTGTGAGTGTAATGTGATTACATTGGCGCAATTCTAGCCTGTCAACCGTCTCCTGATGAAAAACTGCCAAGTTACGTACTCTGGCTTGTTGACTTTACCCATAAAATTGCATTTTACATCTTCTTATGTTCAGTTTATTTAGATAACGCATTCTTTACATAAAAATCATCGAACGATCTCAAGTTCATGATTATTTCTATCGGGATTTCTATTGTTTAATACGCGAGTTCCAGTGAATCACGAGAATTTTCACATAACGTTATAAAATAGTTTGATAACATAAAAAGGGGAAACAATATAATGGCAATTTATAAAAATAATCCCTTCCACCCTGCGTTCCCCAGATTCTCCTGTATAATGTATTTATATGGAGATTAAATAAACGTAGAAGTAAATGAAACTCGTCCAGTGGTTTTCATGTTCATAAGAATGTCTGGCCGAATCAAATGTTTAAATTAATGTTTATTGTACGACGTTTTGGCTACCACAGTGGCATGATTCAAATGTGATGACAATAAGGACGAAATGTTTTTTTGGTGTTCATTATTGTCAATGTCCCTGAAAAAGGCAACAGTGGTTGCCGAAACGTCGTACAATAAAAAGAAACTTAAACATATATATGTGACTTGATTTGAGAAGACAATGGATTTCTACAAACGTAGAAGTATTTTTGTGGTACAAGAGGCGTAAAAAATATCACTGTTTTCTATAAAAAAATCTAAGCTGATCCTATATATACGTAGTAGAGCAGCCCAAGAGACTAAAATAGGAAGTTACTAGAGCGTTGTGAGGGCCTATTAGGTTTTGAAGAGTAGATCGCAGTAAGAGGTTACATGATGTATAGCAAGTATACATTTAAGGAGGTTTTATGAAGCACTTCAAAGTGAGGTAGCAGCCAAACAAGTACATCCTATCTCTAAACTGACATTCTAGCTTTTTTCCTAACAGCTGTTGCTGCAATCTGGTCAAAAAGCCTCCAGTAAAGGATTCTTGAAAAAAATTACAAATGTAGCTACTTTAACAAAAACAACTACGTTCACTATTATATCGCAATGTGAACTATGCACACATTTATTACAGGCGTTACAAATTAATGTATATTTATATATATATATATATATGTAATATCGAGGAAAGGAACTTTCCTGGTTCATATTATATAATTTAAATTGTTGTGTGAAATATTTGCGTGTCTAGGTATGTTAACCAAAAAGTAATTATACCAGTAATATCAATGAGTATTTGCGCACATTAGTTCGATAACAGGGAGTTTTTGTAGTTTTACATTTCAATTTCGAATTATCACACATTAGCATTATGAAGGTATAATATTCTAATAGGCTACTTGACTCATATCATATTTCATAGAATGGGTGAGTATTTCTTACAGTACTTGGCTTAGGAACAAGAAATATATCAATTTCAATTTTTTAAAGCATAAGATGGGTATATACATATTATAAGTCCAATTTTAAAAAAAATATGGAACGGTGAAAACACTGTCGGCCATTATGTGACGTAATACAAATTGTAAAAAGAGAAATGTCATCCGTATGTCACTCGTGGACTAACGTTGTCTTTTTAATGTAATAAGTTATCGTTTTCTCGTTTTATTGTAAAAAACATTCATGGGCATTGGATTCGTAACAGCAGAAAGCACAAAATTGCTGAAAATTGACAAACAGGTAATTTTTTGATTTCTGCTCTACTGAGCTGAGGAAGAACTTAATCTATGCAAGTACAGTGCGTCTGATATAATAATTAACATAAAAAGAAAGAATAAGTTGTACATAATTTATATAAGCTTCCTTTTCAGAAGTCATTCAAAACTAAGCTTATTCTATATTATCTAATATTCTATTTCTAGGTTACGTTCAACTTACACGAGACGATAAAATCTGTATAGTAAAATGTAAAATATGTCCCGAATATAAGGTATGTTCCAAGTAATACATAGTGTGACGAATCATACTGTCGGCGCCATCTGTTGGGCGAGTTTCCTACTCGCTAGAGCTGCTTGGCCGATCTCTGCTTTTACGCGAATCACGACCGCACCAGCCACCTGGCGGCGGATCGCCATCTAGATCGACGCGAAGCAACCTCGACTATTCGGGAAGGTCGCTATGTGGCTCCCGATTCTTCTAGACTCAACGATGCGGAGTATATAACTCGGCGACCGGGAGATGGAAGGGAGTACTGAATACGGTAGAGTAGCAGAGCGGAGTGAAGTATAGTACAGTAAATGGTGACATAAGAATTAGTCAGACATAAATAGTGGTGCATATAAATGTTTTATCAAGTTAAATAAATTAGTGCATTTCTTTTTGTGGAATCCAGTTTTTTAATCCACACCCAAAAGAACCCAGAAAAACGCTACATAGTGTTGCGTATATCTATTTCCCTGGGCACTCTAATCCACAGCTTTCCTGAAGTTTATTTATATTATATCAAGTGACTAGAGAGATGCAAGGGTGAGAGACCCTGTACCTGTACCGCGCCCTAACGCTGACTGAATGGTAAATCAAATCCGCATCAATTCATTATTGGTATTTCCCTCCTAAATATTCGCGTAATGTTCATTCTCTAACATAATGTATCGTAATATATTATCTAATACTATATTCATTTTCACCTATACAAATGATTTTTTATACAGGGTGATTTTAAAAATAGTGTCATTATTTGAAAGCAAAAGTACGTTAAAAATAACACGTGTATGAACATATCGCCTCAAACTTTTGTGTATACAGGGTGTTTCCTAAGTGAATGTCAATATTTTGGAGGTCGATATTTCGGTCCATTAAAGAAATCTTCACATGAACCTATGCCCTAAACGCCTCAGGTTTTGAGGTGAAATAAAAAAAAATGAAATCTGTATTGATTTATGAGCAGATTTGATCTCTTGAGTTTTTTTAGTCCGACGCACCACTTTCACATAAAACTGGCGACAAGTAGGTTGCCTCTGAACCTCAATGCAACGCTGTCACCAGTTCATAAAGGATTATTATTATAAGAAAACAGTTGACTACGAACATACAGGGTGACTTTGAAGTTGAGTCATTAATTTTCAGATAATGATTGTAGAAGGAAGATAAACCAAAATATGTGTGTAAAAATAAAAAAAAATTAAAAAAAATTTTTACCTTGTTTTATAAAGTATCCTCCCGACAAGTATTTCAGTGCGGACCTGTATTTGATCGTGAGGTCCCCTGTGAGGTCTTAAGTTAACAACATTAACAAAGACACGAGGGGTTGGTTGCACTCGATTGGGAAACCGATCCACATAAACATGTGCCATTTTTTATTTCGTTTGAGCCACGCAACAGATACCACTATTCACTGACACTGACTGTATACAAATGAATTAAAAAATTGTAAAAACATCGTTCCAAATTCTTTCGCTTTTTTGGTTCCGATGCGATGAACCGATACGGCGGATTATATCCGTTGTCGCCAAACACGAGTACATAATATTATTATTGAGACAGGGCGGTACTCAAACTTCCAAAGGGCTATAACTTTGTTACTTTAATTTTACCAGAAAAATGGTAAAGGAAAAAACATTTCTTTTGATCAGATCTACTCACTGTTAAAATAAATGACTCAACTTCGAAGTCACCCTGTATATAACATAAAAAAGAATAAAATGAATCAAGCAAGCTATACAATTAGTCCATAGTCCCATCCATTTCAAAATGCTGCGATCTAAAATCTTCTTCCCGCCACTTACTGAAAGTAACGACCATCTGGCAACATCAGCCATGCTATGCTGGCCTGCTACAGCAGACTGGCGGTGAAAGATTATTCGGCAGTCGCAGAAAGGATCTAGCGGGCTTCGGAGTGGAACCGTATCAATATATCACGGACAAAAAGTTGAGATATACTCTCCTCCACTACCTACAACCCCAACCTCCAAATTCGTGATGTTCATGTCATATGACAACCAAAAAAAAATAATATCACATTTCCTTTTTTTGCGATTACTATACTTCCTCGCTAGTAGGTGTAGGAAGTAATAAAAGCTACTTCTCTGCATGATGATATTGTCATATTAACGATACATCGGATTGAAAAAAAAAATAGTTTCTTCTTAAAATGGACCCAAAAATTGTCCCCTTAAATATAGACATTCAATTACGAAACACCCTGAATAGTACCATTAACAGATATAATACATGATTTTTTTCTTCCAAAACACACCAGAATCGTGGAAAATGAGATATTTTGACCTATTCAGAAAATCGTTTATATCCAACAGATCCGTCCTCATCAGTAGTTTGTGCCCGATGTGCAAGACTCTCCGACAGTTGGTGACTAATAACTCTCCTACCATGAACGCAGCTGCAGAATTTTATGAAGACACGTAGCTTACCTTGCTGGTGAGATCCCTATGGAAGATGCCCTTCGAATGTAGGTACTCCATGCCCATAGCGACATCCCTTGCAAGTCGCACCCTCGTAGGTTGCGGTAGTTCCTCCCTATCATCGTGAATGAGCTGATGTAGCGACCCTCCGTCTATGAACTCGGTGAGAGCGTGCAGTTGCCCCTCGTGGACGCATACCCCCATGAGACTCAGAATGTTAGGGTGTGACAGTCGATTCATGAGCTGTATCTCTTTCAGCATGTTGCGCCTGTTGGAGTGACGCAGGTTCATTTTCAAGACCATCACCTCGCCCGTCACCTGATGGGTCACCTGCAACAAGAACAGATCTATGCTGAAAAAAATATATAAATATCAAGTAAGTTATTCTGGAGTTCCTATGCAAAGTTAGCTACGAATGTGTATTACAAAAAATCAAATTGATCAAGTTAGCCAAACAGGCTCATACAATTTGCATATTTACCCTGCTGCTTTTCTATACAGTTTTGGGCTTCATTAGAATTTTATCCCCCGAGAAAACACGATACCCCTCGCTCTTCACGCTTTCACACAAAATTATCTCTTGCCGAGGGTCGGCCCTCTTCCCTACCCATGCGAAAAATTCCTGTTAGCAAACATGATCGAAACTATTATTACATCTCGCGTGGATGACAATCGACGGTCCCAGTGTTGCCGAAATGAGACTATTTACCGAAATACCGAATGTTTTAGAATAAATCAAATATTATTAGATTTTTTACCGAAAAAAGCTGGCACCAAAAATAAATCTAAAAAAATAATTCTATTTAGTCTATGTAGTTTTCAGACATACGCGTACACTTACGTAGTCGTGCACACGAGGGACGTGAACTCGAGTTGCCTATAATTCGCAAGTCCCTTACTCCACTGTCCCTGCACTGGTTTTTGTGCGTACAACAGCTTCAGACTGGTAGATCACCGGTAGCACCGAATCACCGGACAAGCAATAATCAAAGCAAAGCTTGTTCATTTTTAATTAAATTAAGATGTCAGGTGATGAAGTTTAGAGTGATTACAAAAATATTCACAGCCTTATAAACAAGAGTGGGGGAAGGAGTTTCCATGATGCTTGCAAAGGAATTTTAAGAGCGACCAGTATGCTCATTACACCAGTTTTAATGAATAAATTAATATTTTTCTTTGGGAAAAGATGTCCTCAAAAACCTGTGTTATATGTACATAAGCGCAGAATACAAAAATATATTTTTTTGTGGAAGGCGCTGCGTGACGCAACCGTCCTTGACCTACCGCTGATCTTGCGACGACACTGATTGTTTCCTCCTACCAATTTTGTGCTTGAATCTGCCGAAGTTAAACGACACTATCTACCGATTTCATCTTTTTTGGATCGGCAACACTGGACCGTCCACAGCCGTCGAGCAGCGGTGGCCGACGGGGACGCACATGCATCGCAAGGACCGGGAAGCAGACGGTTGGATAATATTTCTATGGTCCTACATCAAAAAATAAAATATGCCCAACCCCCAATGTTCAACCACAATGTTTTTTCTAAAAATGGCAAAGAGCCTCTGAAACATCAAAACACGAAGTTTGAGTGGTCTTTATATACCCCTTTTTGTCCGTAGCTCCGCCGCCACTGGATCGATTTTCAAAAACTATAAAGCGTTATGGTCCTTAGTAGTAACGTGGTGTGAAATCGGTGACATGGGTATCTATACACACTTCTCTCTAGTACACATTGAACTCAACCGTCAAACAAATTTGGTTCTCATTGTATGTAATGATGATAATGACGTCAATACGCCAATGTAACTAACGCAAACATCCATATTTAAATGTATTTAAGAATGTTCGGGTGATAATTCTATTTAAGCAAAAAATACATTAATCACTCAACTGGTGCCAAGTAAAAAAAAAAACTCGTAAACAAAAAAAACTTACGTAAGACTAACAGGTCTAAATGATTTAAATGCGCCTAAAACATTCCACTTTTGTATAATTTTACTCCACAATAGTCATGCATCAGAAGTCGAAAAATCATTCGGAAAACATTAATTTTCATAAAATAATCATTAAAGCTATTAACTGACTTTTAAGAAGATAATGAATACCCATAAAAATACATACGTATCATTGGATCAAATACTACCTTGATCAAGTTAAACTATTTCCTACCGCTAAAAACAAAAGTTTTGTTTTTCTGAGATATTCAGGCTTATCTTTATATTTATCTTTATAAACCACTTAGACTTAGAAGTTGCGGACAGTGAGACTGTTGAGCACTTTCTTTCTGGCTACCTATCAGTATGGAGGAGGATTAGCCTTATATGGTTAATGAAAAGGAAACTCCGCTGGGTTGAGATGAGTAATGATCCAGCTTTTAGCAACGCTTGGGAAAGACGAATTGCCGGAGCTATCATATGAATAGGCAAAATACATTTTTTATTTGTATTTTCAGTCGATTATTTACATTAATATAATACCGTAAACACATATTTCATTCAAAGAAATAACTATGTATATTTATTCTTAATTAAATATTTAAAACTGCAATGCCAATGACGTTGATCTGAACGCCGCGTTTTTGGCACGCTTTACAGTGACGTCACCTAATCCGAAATATTTGATTGGTTTTTTTTTGTTAGTTTGCTGTTCAGCTATCAACATACCATTTGTTTGTAAATTTACAAAGTATTTATAGGTTACGTTTATTACTATAAATTAAATTCAAACGCTGGAAAATGATGTAAATAAAATATGGATCGGTTGCTATCCTTGCTGCTTTTACTCAGCTGACTTCAGAAGATGTCCGTGTTTGAGGCAGTACATGAAGACATTATTAACAATCTTTTTCGGAGCTGTGTCCATCAAAAACCACTTTTAGTCATTGTTGATTGCATTCAGGAAGGCTATATCTCAAGAATCAAGTCTGTGTTCTAAACTACACGTGAAAGTTGTAAAAACAATAAGATAAATAACTATTATCTCGAACTGATCAAATAACAAATTGACATGATGTCAATCAATGACGGTAAGAACAAAGGCCTGCCATTTTAATTTGGACTGACCAGTCACCAAAGTCATGGCTGGTCATATTTTCTTTCATTTTTTATTAATTAATACTGCTTACGTATAGAATGGGGTTGAAGGTGCCATTCTGTAGCAACGACATCGAATAGATTTATAAGGAGCCAATCCTATATGTTTGCGTTGCATTGTTTGCCACCACAATTGTAAATTTTATTTATATGTATGTTTTCGTCACAATAAAAATATTTGGGAGTATTTTAGTCCGTTTTTTTGCGTACTGCCTACTGAGCTTCCTCCATAGGAGTTAGTGGCACTAAAATGAGGTTGTAAAATTACTACTTATAACGTACCTGTCCTAAGAACTTTTAGATTCAGAATTGGTCAAGTTAAATTTTAGTTCATTTAGATTAAATTATCGGTTGGCTCATTTCAGTATCCATCAAAAAATTTGGATTGTCTACAATATTTTGCATTTTTCGTTGTTATTAGGTATACACTGCTATTAACAGACCATAGATTGGGACTGAGTGCTCAATGAAACAAGGAGTGAAATGAAATAAATCAAAATTACCTCACAATTGTCCAGGTAAAAGCCCAATATCGAGGTTAATGCCCTTTCCAACGCCGGTGACTATCCAGAAGTTTTGGCACAAAATTCATTGGCATTAACCAACAAAATAATATCAAGTTGCCCTCTGGAAACAAAAGTTTCTTTATATACTTTACTATCAGTTGACATCTATTTATTTTGTTTTCGCTTTAAGATGTCGTCTAAATTAGAAATAAGAAAAAGTATCTACAAAATGGTTGGGCGGGAGTACGAGCAGGGAATACCATACCTGAATCTTCCAAAAAGTGGAATACCACGTGCATTCACTGCACAGAGGACAAAGAGATTGGTGAGAAGAGCAAAAAATACGGTTGGAATGTCAACAAGGATACTGGCTGTCATCAACTGAGGCGGGTATACTTTACCAATGGAAAAATCATTATTTCAGATTGCGAAAAGTATTTCACTTTGAGTAATTCTGAAATGAAGGGACACGACGGATTTTATACGGACAACGTATAGGAATACCCTGACAATGTTAGATACAAACATAAACCGAAATTTGCAGATAAAATCCTTGTCTAGTGCACAATTTCGATCAGGGGTGTATCCCAACATTGTGTGGGAAGAGTGAGAGGTGAAGCTTTGAATAGTCAGAGCTATATTGATAACTGTCTTTCCAAATGTGTTCAATTCGTCCACCAATATCATGCTTATGACCATATCATGTTTTGGCCAGACCTAGCATCATGCCATTACTCAAGAGATTCCCAAAACTGGCTTCGACAACACAACATACCTTTTGTTCCAGAAAACGATAATCCTCCAAACAACGCAGGCTCGCCCAATAGAGGATTTTTGGGCTTTACTGTCTAGGAAGGTATATCATAGAAGCTGGGAAGCCCAGGATGAAGAACAATTAAGACGGCGAATTTACGAAAAACTGAAAGAAATTGATCTGAAAGAAAATTGCGTCTGGTAGAGCAGAATGGGCCACTCCACATAATTCGATACTATACAGGGTGTTTCAGAACTATGGGATTAAACTTGTAAGGAGTTATTTAGTGTAACAGTAGAAAACATTTGAGTATAGGGACCAATATCCGGAAAAGTGTCACTACGGCCCTAAGACGCGTTAAAATTTAGAAAGACGATGGATTGAATAAAAATGATTTAATGCATTTAATTTTTGCCTTTTGTACATTATATCAACACAACAATTGTTGACTAAAAATTTTATTCTCGTTTTGAATGATTTCAAATAATGTAATTCGTCCAATTAAGTATTGCTCTGTTTCTACTGGAGTTTCGTAAACCAAAGACTTTCCATGTCCCCACAGGAACGGTTTATTCAGGTTGGAGGAAGACATTTTGAACAATTGTTGTGATGATATCATGTACAAAAGGCAAAAATTAAATGCATTAAATCCTATTTAGGCAATTCATCGTCTTTCTAAAATTTAACGCGTCTTAGGGCCGTACGAGTAGTGCCGTAGTGACACTCTTCCGGATATGGGTCCCTATACTCAAATGTTTTCTACTGTTACACTGAATAACCCCTAGAAGTTGGATTACTTAGTTCTGAAACACCCTGTAGTTTAATTAAGCCTTGAGCCTCTATATAGTTGGTGTTCAAATAAATTTCTTCATTAAAAAAAATCCGATAAATATTTTGTGCCAAAGATTTTTGGACATATACGTGTTTAGTGCATCGTTTGCCAAATTGAAATGGCGGACAGGGGAGGTCTTTTTCTATCACCCCAGGTCCCTCAAACAGTTTTTAGCCCAACGGAATTAATTATGTAGATTTATAATTTTTTTTAGTAAAAACTCCAAAATTTAATACACAAAGTGAAAGAGGACATACTCTAAAGATTAATTTATGTTAACGGGTGATGTACCAATCTTACAAAATCATCATTATTTGCCCGCAGCATGTAGTTTTTTATTTATAAACTCACAAAGGGTTACAAAGAAGAACAAAAAAATGTAAGTCTCAATTTTGAATTTCTGTAAAAAAAAACTAAAAGCGTTCACGTTCTTAGAATTCTTTTAAAAACTACTCTAGTTTATCCCGATTCTAACGGTATGCCACAATTCACAAAAAAGTTTGACTAACTTATTGAATTTGCAAATATAACACCCATCGATAAAAAGGCTTGCTCTTATTCAGATTAAACTGCTTTTAGTTATCCACAAAAACCTACACCATTTTCGGCAACCGTCTGGAACAAAAATAGGAATTTAATGTGAAATGTCAACATCTGTCAAACTGGCGGCTTATGTTTGATCGAGTTGTAGTATATGTTAAACTTGCAACCTGACTACTGGCCGCGTAAACGGACAAACAAATCGTATACTTCCTCCTTCTACCTAGTCCGAATAAAAATAATTAACTGATATCTGAATCGCATGCATATTCTTTATTCTGAATCTGATTAGTGCATGTCAAGAAGTGATGCCGTTTTTCTTCATCTGCATTTTGTAACCCGTTATGTATCCATCAGAGTAATAATTCATTTTCACTTATCCATATGCATGGTGGAAGCAAATAATTGTCTGTTCTGAGAAATAAAAATGTTGGCTTCACTGAGCACGCAAATTGGTCCAGATAACTATAACGAGGTGTATCGTTAACTAAACAATATAAACAAACGTAAACAGAAGAGAGGATGTGATGTGACCAGACTGCGTACGAGCCACATCTGACGCCTATTGACTTTTTAAAGGTCGCTCGCTGGGAATCATCAACGTCAATCACGCGGAAAAAGTTATAGCGTATATATACTAAGTGACATATAAATCCGAACACCCAGTTTAAATGGTTTTATTTTAATAAAATTTTGTATAAGTACTTAATGAAGCATAATAAGTAAATGATAATTAGACTGCTTTAAAGCCCTTTGACCTTTAATAATGTGTGGATGCACCCTGATGTGCTACGCATTCTCCAACGCGCCTAGGCATGCTTCTGATCAGGTGGTCAATGTCCTCCTGTGGTATCTCATTCCAGGCAACCACCAACTCCTCTCTAAGTGCTTCTAGAGTCCGAGGAGGACGTTGCAAATTGAGCAATCTCCTACCCATCATATCCCACACGTGCTCAATTGGGGATAAGTCGAGAGATCTTGGTGGCCATGGTAACAATGTGACATCATTATGTTGAAAGAAGTCTATTGTGACTCTTGCAACATGTGGTCGGGCATTATCTTGTTGGAAAGTTGGATCTGCCAGGGTGTCAAGATAGGGTAAAAGATGGGGTTCTAGAACTTCGTGGATATAACGCTGCGCGTTCATGTTACCTCTGATGAAGATTAAATGTGACCTGGAACCATAAGCTATAGCACCCCAAACCATAACTCCAACGGTGTGATGAACATGTCTTTCAACAAAAAACTGTGGATTCCTCCTTTCACCACGTCGCCTTCTAACCCTGGCACGACCATCGTCGGTGTTCTCGAGTTAAAGGGAGGACCCAGTGTGGCCGGTATGAAAACAAGCCAAAACTTCTCATTCGTCGGTAAACACTTCGCATGCCAATAGGTCTTCCGTGTTCTGCAAACCATTCATTTGCAATGGACCTGGTAGTGGAGAAACGGTCCCTTAAGGCCAATAATCTTAGGCGGCGATCTTCACGGTCTGTTGTTCTACGGCGGCGTCCAGTGCCACTTGCTCTTTGAGTACGGCCTTCTCGAAGCCATGCCTGACAACACCAAACCACAGTGTCTACACTTCTTTGCACTCTACTTTACTGCGGCTGAAATATTCATTTTTAGAGCGTTAGTGAATTAAAAAAAAGCAGTATAAAAACCGGAATGTCCAACTGATAAGGCTGAAAATTTTTTCACTTGTTATTTACAGTAAAATAAATACATTCACCAACTTTTATTAAAATAAAACCATTTAAACTGGGTGTTCAGATTTATATGTCACTTAGTATAGTTTGGTCTATGTCACCAAATGCTGAATCAGCTCAAAATCATGGGAAATTCCACCAGGTTTTGATATATAAACTACCACGATATCTACTGATAAAGTTTTTGTGACATCATTACCGTTAGATTCAACATCCTCCATTTGGTGTTCAACAACTTTGTTGTTCTTATGATGTCAAACAACTGTATCTCAATTTTATTCCCTGAAGCAAGCATTGCGGATTAAGATACAATTTTAGTAGATAACGTCGTACGATATATTGGAGCTTATTGTTTTTCAGATTTACCTGACAAAACCTCAAGAGCGGCGTTTATACACATTCTACCGGGTGTTCCAAATTCGACCATCACGATTGATAAGAACGGTAAGAGATACGAAGTCGCTTGAAACTGGTCAAAGTTTCCCAAAATCGTTTTATATGTTTTCTGACTTCATCTGTAGTGAGATTTCAACATAAATTGCACATTAACATTGTCGCTTTTTTTTAATATGATGTCTCGACTCTTGTCCTCCAGCATCAACTACTTTATTTTTTCTAATGGACGCCATACTAAAAGTTTGCACAGATGAATAGAGTTTTTATTCAGATTACCAAAATACACATATAATAAATACATGGACGTTGCCAAACCTTAGTCATTTAAAAAAAATTAATTTCCTAGGTAGGTCTTAAAATTATCAGACGGTCATTTGTTTCACATACCAGATTCATCGCAAAATCGTTGTTTATTTCCCGATTCTATTCGAAATGGGAACTGGGAAAATAAAATGCATATTAGCACTGTCCTCTACAAGAAGGAGAAGTCAAATTCTCAATTGGACGTTTCTACTTTCGATCTCAATCATCAACTTTATTTTTTTTTATGGTCTCCATATTGAAAATTCGAGCAAACGAACACAATTTGTTATTCTGCATTTAGTTATGAGTATAATACTCGTACATTTAATGCCTACCTACGAATACGTGTTTTTTTTTATAACTAAAGTTTCTCAATGTCAATGTAACACACGTTATATATTTTTCGAGTTAGAATTAAAAACTATATAATAAGTTTGACCCATATGGACTTTTTCTTGTAAATATACCTCAGGAGCAAAATTTATCTCAATG